TTAGGCTCTAGCTATAGGGAATAATAATATTAAAAATATTTATTATTATAATTATAAAAAGAGATCTAATTACTAGTAATTAATAATAATAAACTTAAAGAGATATTATAATTAATTATAAATAATAAGTATTTTCTTTTAGAGCTTATAACTAAATTATATATTTAGTAAGTTCTTTTTAGAGTTTTTAGAGATATTATTATCTTATCTTAGCTTATATAAATAAAAAAGTAAAAAAAATAGAATTAAAGATTAGATATAAATTAAAACTTAATTAAAAATAAATTATATAGATCTAGTTATATATAATCTAATTTTAAGATATTTCTTATATATAGTAAAAATCTTAAAAAAAAAAAAATTAAAAAATTAATCTAATTATTATACTAGATATATAAATAATCTAGTTATAATTATAATCTCTAAGTAAAAAAGCTTATTATCTAATAATAATAATAATTTTTTCTTTTTAAGTTAAAGCTTATCTTAATCTAGATTAATTAATTATATTATTAATTAATTACTAAATAATTTAAATAGTTATAATATTTAATATAAATATTTTAATCTTTTAAAGTTTAATTAATATTTCTAATAAAATTCTTAAAATAATAATAATTATTATTTAAAATAATCTAATATAGCTATTTACTAATTATATTTATAATATATCTTTATAATTAGTTAAAAGCTTATTTATAATAATAAAACTACTATTAATTATATAAATCTAATAGCTATATCTATTTAGTTTATTATTTTATTATATAATCTACTATTTATAATTATTATAATTATTATAGATATTTATAGTTTTTAAGATATTAATATCTATAACTAGATTAAAAGTATTTAATTTTAACTTTATCTTATAGTATTAAAGATTTAAATATAAACTACTAATTATATTTTTAAAAAATATATATTAAATTATATATTATCTAATCTTAGAATATACTCTTATTTATAGTAAAACTAATAAAAAAAAATTACTATATAAAACTATATCTAGTTTTTTAATTAGTATATAATAATTTTATAATTAGTTATTATAATTTTCTTTAAAATTCTATAATAATAATTAATTAATTTATTATATTTTAAATATTATTTTATTAATCTTATTTAAATTAATTTTTTTATTTAATAAAATTTTTAATAATTTAATTTTTTTTAATTCTTTTCTATTTATAATAAATATTATTCTATTAATATTAGAATATTAATATTAGACTTTAAAAGTAATATCTATCTAGATTAATTTTATATAATATATAATATATTAAAACTAAAGATTATATTTTAGATTATTATAATTATTAAATACTTAAGAATAATAATATTAAAAATATCTATTATTATAGTTATAAAAAAAAATAATTAGTAATTAGTAATAATAAACTTAGAGAGATATTATAATTAATTATAAATAATAAGTATTTTCTTTTAAAATTTATAACTAAATTATATATTTAATAAGTTTTTTTTAGAATTTTTAAAAATACTATTATTTATACTTTAGTTAATTATATAATAAAAAGTTAAAAAAAAAAAATTAAAAATTAAATATAAACTAGAAATTTAATTAAAAATAATTTATATAAATCTAATTTTTTTTTAAGATTTTTACTATATATAAGAAATATTCTAAGATTAAACTATATATAACTAGATCTATATAATTTATTTTTAATTAATTTTTAATTTTAATTTTTTTTTTAATTTTTTATTTATATAAATTAAAATAGAATAATAATTTCTTTAAAAACTCTAAAAAGAACTTATTAAATATATAGCTTAATTATAGATTCTAAAAGAAAATATTTATTATTTATAATTAATTATAATATCTTTCTAAACTTATTATTATTAATTATTAATAATTAGATCTCTTTTTATAATTTTAATAATAAATATTTTTAATATTATTATTCTCTATAATTAGAATCTAATTATTATAAATAATTAAGTTCTTATATATATAATAGTTATTATTAATAATAACTATTAGAATCTCTTTTTAGATATTAATAATTTAAACTTATAATCTATTATAAATTTATTTATAATAATAAAGCTATTTTTTTTATATAGATTTAGTAATTATATCTACTAAAGCTATTATTATATCTAATAGCTAGCTAATAAGAAGATATATAAATTCTATTTATAAAGAACTATATAAATATTTCTCTAGTACTTAATAACTATTATAATTTAATATATTTAAATAAAAGATCTATTTTAATTAGTAATATTAAATAAATAGAAAAGAATAGAATTAAATTAAATTATTAAAAAGTTTATTAGATAAAAAAATTAAATTAAATAAGATTAATAAGATAGTATTTAGAATATAATAGATTAATTTATTATATAATATAACTAAGTATATATAAATAGATATTAAATTAATATTAAATCTATATTATTTTTAATAAAATTTCCTATAATAGTAAATATATACTATATTTATAAAAGTAAATTAATTTATAATCTTAAAAATAACTAACTTTTTATTCTTATTATTTCTAACTAATAATAAATATTTTTCTAATATTTTAATCTAATCTAATCTAATATTCTAATCTAAATCTAAAGTAGATAACTAAAAATAAAAATATAAGCTTAATTAATTTTTAAGAACTATCTCTATTCTAATTATTTTAATATAGTATATAATATATTAAAATTATAAATTATATATTAGATTATAGTAGATCTATATAAATAAATAGTTATTCTTAAGATATAGCTTTTCTTCTAATTAGTTTCTATTCTCTATAAATATTTACTATAGCTCTAGATAGATTATATAATAAAGTAATAAACTAAGTAGATATAACTACTTAATCTATATTATTAAAAGTAGCTTTATTACTATAAGCAGATTCTTAACTAATTAGAATAGTATATAATAAATATAGTTAGTAAATAATTATTTTATATTATTTCTAATAATAGTTATTATCTCTTAAAGAGCTTTATTAAAAGTATTAACTAGATTCTAAGAGATTAGAATATTTATATTAGATATAGTTATTATAGCTATTATTATTACTATATAAACTATATTTAGTCTTTATTAGTATATAGTAACTTTATAATTAGCTATTATAATTTTCTTTAAATAATCTATAGTAGTATTAGATTAACTAACTTATTATATTCTAAATACTATTATATTAATCTTATTTAATTTAATTTTTCTATCTAATAAACTTTTTAATAATTTAATTTAATTTAATTTAATTCTCTTTTACTTAATATTATTAATTAAAATAAATATTAAACTTAAAGAACTACTTTAATCTAAATTAATTTAATTTAGTATATTATCTATTAAAACTATATATAGTAACTTAGATTATAATAGTAATTAAGTATTAGAAAAATATTATTATAATTCTCTATAAGTATATTAATAATTAGATCTATTTTTATATTATTACTAACTATAAGAAGATAGAGTAATAATTCTAATAGATATAATTACTAGATCTATATAAGAAAGAGTAGCTTTATTATTATAAGTAAATCTATAATAGATTATAGATTTAAATAATTAATATCTAAAAAGAGATTCTAATAGTTCTTATTAATAATAACTATTATATATATAAAGATCTAGTTATTTATAATAACTAAATTCTAATTATAAAAGATAATAATATTAGAGATATCTATTATTATTATAAGAAGAGATAATTAATAATAGTAATAATAAGTTTAAAGAGATATTATAATTAATTATAAATAATAAATATCCTCTCTTAGAGTCTATAGCTAAGTTATATATTTAGTAAGCTCTTTTTAAAGTTTTTAAAGATATTATTACTTTATTTTAGCTTATATAAATAAAAAAGTAAAAAAAATAGAATTAAAGATTAAATATAGATTAAAACTTAGTTAAAAATAAATTATATAGAGCTAGTTATATATAGCCTGATCTTAGGATATCCCTTATATATAGTAAAGATCTTTAAAAAAAAAATAGCTATTATTATTTAAAGTATCTAGTAATTAATTAATAATTAATAAGCTTAATAAGTAGATATAGTTATTAAATAATAAGTTTCCTCTCTTAGGGGTTATAATTATAACTAGACTATTTATATATCTAGCTATATAAATAGCTCCTATTATTAGAATTTTTAAAATATTAATATTTATATCTAGATTAAAAGTATTTAATTTTAATTTTAATTTATAGTATTAAAGATTTAAATATAAACTATTAATTATATTTTTAAAAAATATATACTAAATTATATATTATCTGATCTTAGGATATATTCTTATTTATAGTAAAACTAATAAAAAAAAAATTAATTAATTTAATATTATTATAAATTATTTAAAGAAAATTATAATAATTAATTATAAAATTATTATATACTAATAAAAACTAAATATAGTTTATATAATAATAAATCTAATTATATATAGCTTAATCTTAGAATATCTTTTATATATAATAAAAATCTTAAATTTTTTTTTTTTTAAATTTAAATATAAATTAAAATCTAATTAAAAATAAATTATATAGATTTAATTATATATAATCTAATTTTAAGATATTTCTTATATATAATAAAAACTTTTTAAAAAAATATAATAATAGTAATTATATATAAATAATATTTATTTAATTAGAGAGCTATATTTAATAAAGAGCTTTATAGCTAATAGTTTATTTATATTAAAATAAATCTTAGATCTCTAATAGTCTATTTAGCTAGAGAATAGATTATTAAACTACTATTATAACCTTATATTAATTTAAATACTATAATATACTTCGCCAGTATAATAGTAATATATACCTTGCCCAAGAGGATATACTAGAGCCTGCCCTCATTTACCATTATCGGGTTTATAATCACTCGCTTGCTTATAAATCAGCATTGAAACTATATCTATAGCGAGATCCCTCCCGCGTAAGTTGTTATATCCGGGGCTCGTAAGATCATTTAGACATCACTAATGCTCCTATCACAATGGCACTAAAAGTCAAAGCTGTCTTTTTCGATTTTATGGGGACTTGCTTAGATTGGCATAGGAGTGCGGTAGACGCATCACCGGCTTCGCTGTCTAAGGAAGACGCCTCAAAGCTCGTTCTTCAATGGCGTCAGCAATACTTCAACGAAAATAGCTATCGCCTCCAACAGAACCTGGCGCCGGAAGATATCGATATAACGCTTGCACGCGCTTTAGATATCGTTCTGGATAAATTCGACCATTACAAGCCACATTTCGGGGTAGATGAGAAGAAGCGCATGATCCAAGAGTGGCATTCGCAACAAGCCTGGCCGGAGGTACCACAGGCAATCCAAAGCATTCGGGAGGATCTTGGGCTCGAGACTTTTGTCCATGCCAATGGAACAACGCGTCTCCAGCTGAACCTAACCCGATCTTCTGGCTTGAAGTTCAATATGCTGTTCTCTAGCCAAATCTTGGGTGTATACAAGCCAAACCCAGAGGCGTATAGAAAGGCATTGGAGCTTGTCCAGCTGAGACCTGATGAAGTGGTCTTAGTAGCAGCCCACGCGTATGACTTGCGAGGCGCAAAGAATTGTGGAATGAAAACTATCTACATCCATCGATGGACCGACGACATTGAGGAAGATATGGAGCAAGTTCGTGGCGAGTTCGACGTTTTCTTGGAGGACATGGAATCCCTTCCCGCTGCGATTGCAAATCTTTAGTATTATAAACTTTATGTTCGCTGCCTATTTCTACAGATAGAATCTATCATTAGTTTTCGCGTGACGGATTAGATTATGGTCATCATGAAACCAACTTACTAAGCCTACTCTAATTGATTAGTTTTGGATTTATAGCTTGTCAGTTCCAGACATGTGCAAGGTTAGCCCGAGGGGCCGAGAGTAGTCATATGTTGCAATAATCGTTTTGACATTGTGATGGGCAAACCCTTCCTAGACTCATCAGCAATAGAAACACCACAGACATATTCCTGCCGTGATCAAGCCTTATATTCAGTCTTGTCGCTTCGCTATAATTGAGACTTCACAAGTGCGATAAACTTAGTAGGATGCCGCAGATCATCAATTGTGCATGAGTGAATGGATTGCGTAGAAGAGAAGTAATATGAGATAAATTGGGTATTGATTACTATACCGCAAGAAATTGGTAAGGTAAATGAAAAGAGTAGGGAAAGAAAAGCAGTAATACCTTCCACTTTTAAAGCCTAGCTGAATCCCTGAATTTTCTTGCTGTGTATTAGCTTTGTTAAAACTTTCTTGCGTAAGCCTAAGCACATACATCAAGCTCACCCATAAGTCTACTGAAAGTCCAAAGCATCGAGACCGGTCAAACCTAGTAGAAATGTCTGCTCGCTATGATATGGCGAGAAAAACTCGTCTTTTTGAGATGAGTTGGCCAAATCAGCCATCCCGCCTCGAGATGTCTGACCTAAATTTGTTGACAATGACATTCCTTGAGCTTGGTCATAACTCCAGTCATCTCCCCACTTATCATTCAGAGGTCTTTGTTCCCAGGACTCTCGGCGAGGAGATCTGGCGGCATGAATTGTAGAAACATGGTTATCTGCTGAATCAATCTCAGCATTTGGAGGAGAGTGTACCGACTTAGAGAGCCACTCGCCCCATTCCTTATACCCCGGTTTCTCTGAAGATGATCCATCAAAGGGTGAATCTGACATGGGGACGGATAGAGATGAAGAAACTTGCTCTAATCTACCAGCAGCTTCATTTGGAATAGATCGCAAAGCATCAAGAAATTTGATGCCAGATGTTGCGGCGGAATTGCCGAGAGACATTTTGTGAAGGCAACTCATGGTAAACGTCACTCTGCTTTCGTAAGTCGCATCTCTTTCCAAGACTCCAGCCAGCAAAGTCATGGTTGTCGCAATACTACATGCTTGGAAATCTGTGAAGGAGAAGCGTACCATGTTGCCACTGCGTGCTAGGCTGTCGAAGAGCTGCAGCATTTTGGTAGCTCCCTTCACCGTGTAACGTGACGTTGTTTCGATTCCTTCTTCAAGTACCGGAAGCTGTGCATCTCGCCCAAAAAGATACCGGAGTTTAGTGCGTACTAGGCCAACAAGTGAGATTCTACCTATTATAATCCAGGCAAAGTAATAATTCATATGGAGATGCATAACTGCTCGATAAGAATTTTCGTTGGGTTGTATATTATCTGGTATGCATTCCGGGGGCAATAATCCTTTCCATTGTTTGAGTTCTCTGGCATTTTGATCAGCTAGCTGAGTATTCGCAGCAAGTGTCGATGCATTCCTGTACGTTGCAACGTCAGCGGATATCCCGTTTTATCAAAGGTAAAACCACTCACTCGGATTCAGCTACAAGATCTAAAATCCTTACTAACTTTGAGTTGACCAACTGGTGTTGTACATTGTCGAAGCTTGCCACTTTGTCTAGTTGTGACAGTGGAGACGGCAGGCGGGTTGTGATGATTTCGACATTGATAGAATGAGACCGGTTCAGTTTAACTGTTAAAGTCCTACATAATAGGAAGTTAATTGCCGAGTTCTGAAGCAAATGAAGGGATTCAGGGGGCCGCGGGTGGGGAGACTGCCGCTCAAGGGCATATATTGACCACCAAAGACGACAGCGAATCTCTCTTTCACGCATACTCATCGCGAAATCGTCCGGCGGATGATGCAGGTCAAAGGAAACTGCTTTTCTCAATGCTATTCCAATATAGATGTAGGAAGAACCAACTGCAGTTTGAGGAAGTAAGTAGACTCCCAGGATAATGTGGCCTTATCGCTCTCAAACATGACCGTTCGATGACATCCGGTATTAGGAATTTTGCTTTTTCAAAAACTAGCTGGCCGGGATCACCATCCCCAAACCTGGATGCAGGGATAGCATTGTCTAGTCCTAGGGGCAATGACGTTGAGCTCCGAGTGCTAATGCTGAGAGGACGAGGCATATAAAGCTGGCATCATATCGGAGGGCTGACGCCGGGTCAGTATAGCTGGTCTTGGTCGAAATCAAAGAAATTGTCTGTGCCAAACTCAATGCAAGTTTGAGAAGGAAATCGGTAACATGGCGAGGGAGCAGTGAATTTGCTGCCTTTCGCATTCGCGATAGATCTGTAACCGAAAGTTTCGCAGGTCGATAAGTCTGAAGGGTAAAAGTTAGTCAGTAAATCACATGGGGATGAATAAAAGAGGTATCTGTCTCACCGAGTGAGCTGCGGTGGGATATTCATCCGCAATGTCATGATGGTCCAGGGAAAACACGTCTCGCAAGTGGGACAAAAAGCGAGGCCAACGTATGCGCTCTAGCGGACCTTTGCGGGCCGTAGAGGAATGGACTGTCTCTACGGAGCCACTGGTAATTTCATCACCGGATGGCTGACACAGAAGAGTTGATATAGGTGTAGGTGATGCATCCGATGATTGTTGTTGCGCCGGCGAATGTGCAGTAGGTGACTGGCTAATAGGCAACGGTCAACCGTATTGTCCCAATTATGAAACGGCAGCTTATACGGGAGAGTTTGAGTGTATATCAGCATACCTCTCGAAGCTACACGACAAGCTGGCATCACAACACTTTTGACAAGGACCGGCGCGAGGTCCAACGCATCTAACTTTCTTCGACTTGCAGCGCTCACAGCTTGGAGGCAATCAATGTTAGCATGGCCGTTCGAACACGTGGATTGGCATGCGGAAACCCATACGCTCGGACTGCCCTTTTCCGGTTTTCGTCGGCCACACGCCGCCGACCTCGTCTACGGATCGCAGCAGCTGTAACTTGCCTCATGACGCTGGTCTTGTGACTTGGTTGTAGGTGACAAGCGAACCGGACATGTGGGTCAGACACTCCGGCAAACTGTCATCAAGAATCGCGGCAAATGGTCACCGAGAAGGGCGTGTGGCTTGACAGACTTCCGAGGGCCTAACCCCAAACACATGTGGGAAGGCCAACCTAAGATGGTAGGCTTCAGTGCACCCGAAGACTCTTTAGCAAAGGAATAAGGTGATAAACCAGATTCTTGAGTTCAAGCTTGATTTATTGGCTTACAGACTGGAGACAACTAAGATAGGTCCGCCGCAACGACTGTAATCTCTGGAAACGCATCTTTTAGCTTCAAGAGGGGACCATTGTCATCCTCTAAGACGAGCTTAGCAAATCCTAGAAGAAGACTCATGACGATCTTCTCCATCTGCTTTCCTTCTACGGTCCCGACAAGCAGTTTCACTAAATCGTCATACTCCGCTGGTAGTGGTCTCGCCTCAAGTAAAATAGGCATATCGATGTAAGAGTAGTGAGTCGCGCCTTCCACTCGGATTTGCATCTTTGGGCCTCTTAGCTTTTCGTAAAACGGTGCCCAAGTTTCATCAATCCCGTTAGCTGTGCCTTTGCCTGACATAAGAAACGGTTTATCCAGCCCGACTGCCTTGGACTGGGCCCAAGGGCTCCCATCCAAATCAATGCCCCCAAGCACGCGATCATCGTTAAGTGTGGCTTCTGCGGCTGTCGCACCGCCAAGTGAATGTCCATAGACAAAGATCTTCCGTAAGTCCGCCCTGTTAGTGATTTTGGACGGGATCAGATGATTGTTGGAGTTTGGATTTTGGAATAGATCAATGACAAACGACACATCTTGTGCCCTGACCTGCATTCGATTAATTAAAGACAGACCCCAATTACTCGTCAGGTAAACGTTGTTCAGTCACTTACCTCAGTAGCTAAATCGGACTCTCCATCACTATAACCAACGGTGCCACGGACAGATGAGCCATCAGGAAACTCTACAAAAGTCGCGTCATAAGGATGATCAATAGTGACCACAACAAATCCATAGCTAGCGAGCGCTTTCGCTTGAAGTGTGTATAGAAGTCTTGATGCCGATAAACCTGGTGAGAAGACTACCAACGGATATTTTTGATGCTTAGTTCTATGACAGGCAGAAGGTTGACAGAAGTTTATCTGTATATCTTCAAAAAGAGTTTCAGGTAGCCCGTTGTCTGCAGCATAGGCTCCATATGCTATAGTTGTTTGAGGTGGCATGTAATCGACCAGTGTGGATGTGCAATTGTCTCCTAGAGCCAAGGGAGAAAAAGATGAAATAAGGATGCGTCTCTTGTGAGGGCTGTCCGAAGGCGCATAGGGGTCCCAACGAGTCTGATCGGTTAGATCATGGACCTGGTAAGACACAGAATGAGGCCCAGGAGGTCCTGGGATGATAACTGCTTGCAGTCCTACTGCAAACAATGCGAGAGCTATGCACAGCATCATGAAGGATGTCTTGATCTGAACTTAGTAAATTTATCAATTGGAATTTCTGCACGCGAACTGCATTGATTTATATTGTGAGTCTTGCTCCATTTCCGCCTGCAAAACCGTTCTGCGGGCTTGTACCTAAATTGTCGAGAAGCCCCAGTCAGTTGGTTTACTTCATCGATCTCGTTGTTGATAATTCGCGCAACTCTGACTCCACTGATCTACGCTTATTTGTTTGCCCGGTTTGTTTGCCCTTGCTGCCATCCACTTGATTTCGGTCCCGAAAACATTCCATGCATTGCAAGAAGCATAATTAGAACTTCTCACATGAGTATGAGATATTTTATTGATCGTTTGGGAAATTGGAAGGTCCTATTTCTAAAATTACCGCAAATCCACAATAGATTCATCAACACTCCGGAAAGATGGTATGCTCATGGCAAAGTAAGCGAGTGTCTTGTCGCAGGTTTTGAGAAAAATTCCCCACTGCCCATAGCAAAGATCCTACCCCAAATGAAGTCATGATCATGTAAACATTCAGTGGTGGGGGAGCTCAATTAAATGACGCCGATTTGTACTCCAAAAGTCCAATATTTGGCCTTGTTTTGGGGCTGGGTGAATTCTATTGTGACCACACAGGGATCTTAACCCGGTCATCTTTCGGACGCATAATAGCCGTTTAGAGTAGCCAATTCCCCCAAATCATCTATTGGCTTTCGCTGTGGGTTCATTCAAACTTCAATCAAACCTTAAGGGGAGGGGTAAGGAACGGATGCTCGCCGGTGTTACACATGAGCTCAACGGAGTTAACTTAGAGTGATGAAGATAATCAAGGGAGAACTGATCGCCACTAGCTTAGTACATATAGTGCCGCAAAACCTGACAGGTCGTTTTTTTTACCGTGCTTAAGGATCTTTAGCCATATGTCAAAGATGCATTTCAAACGCGCCTAGAGAGCCAATTGCTTCCATGCCTCCAAGGTTGATGTCCCGAATTTAGCTAGGTGTAGTCGAACAATATCATCGAGGTCAGTTAGGCTCTAGTCTTAGCCGAACCAATAAATTTCATTACTGGCACAGCTGACTTATGTTCGCACTATAGGTACGTTAGCCGAAGTCGAATCAGTTGTCTCCGAGCTCTATTAGAGAATATATGGTGAATGGCTAGAGGGCAGCATCACGAAGATTGTCAGAATAAGATACGGCGTAGCCTGGAGGAGTAAAGACCAGTGGATGCTGCCTTACTGCTAACTTCCCAACTAACTGGCGATCGCTATGAGATCTCTCTCTAATCGATAAGTTGGCTCTTTCAACTTGTGGCGTTGTTTAAGTACCAATTTTGCGGTGGCCTCACACCGGATTTCCCACGCCCGTTCATTGACCAATTCCTTTTCGCTCCTGAACATACATAGATGACTTCCTCTGATGTCGGGCTGCCTTGAACCTCTCACCTGATGAAGAGAGGCCAGAGAACGACAAGCCTGGTAATGATTGTGAACGATTCCTAAATGAACACGTTAGTCTCTGTGTGCTTGCAATTGTATTCCATGTATCTAGAAGCTCTAATGGACAGCAAGTATATCGATAACAACATGAAGCCCGAAGTGCTAGTATTAATTTATACACGCTATGAAGAGAAAAAAGAGCCTAATTATCACAGGCAAGGATATTCAAGCTGAGAAAGTAAGCGGGCCTCTCGTCATTGATAATTGAGCACCAAAGGCAGCTAAGTACATCTCGCCAAGATTGTTGCCTTACTCCTCATCTTGGAGATAGCGGGCAAACACGTATTCAAGATCACGCTCATCAAATTGAATATCGCGCTCCTCAACATCTCCGCTGCGGAGAAGCAATTTTAGAAGACCCTTTCCAACCTTTGCGGCACCTCGAAGGAGCTTTTTGCGGTTGATTTTTCTCTCCTCAAGATCACGGCCCTCAATATCAGCCTCGGCATCATCTCTTTCCATCAAGTCATTGATCTCACGCTCACTGAGCTCAAAAACTTCTCCTGCCTCTAGATCGCGGAGAAGAATCTTTAAAAGGCCTTTTCCGACCCTTGCGGCACCATGCAGAAGCCTCTTGCCGTTTACTTTTCTCTCTTCGAGGCCAGGATCGTCGAAACCAAGGGTACGGGCTTCCAGAACGGCGTCAGTGATAACGCCAGCCCCAGATCTAAGCACAAGATCAGAACTTGCAATGGGAGCAGCGAGCGCATGTTGGGCAGCTCCAGTCAGGAGCGCTGCAGCGATAGAGATGTTCTTGACAACAAGCATTTTGACTATTGGCGAATTTGAGAAAGAGCTCGGGTTCGAGTAAACATAAATTTCGTATTAACCAGCAATAATGAAATGAAAAATAAGGTGAAATAGAAACGAATAGAGACCAGCTCTGTTTGTTTGGGATTTTTTTTTTGGTGATGATTTTCGTTTTCCCATGGGAGGGAAATAATCTTTATCCATAGAGGACACACCAACTCTTTATAAAAGTTTACGTGGCATCCCAGGTGGCTTGCTCTTATTGATATAAAAGGTCGTGGGGTGCCTCTAGGACTTTGCTTGCGCCGTATAGCGACTCGGCAATACGAGCACACCCTCCACCACTAGGTCTGATGTTGTGTCAGAATTAGCCTGATATGGTAAAGGGAGAGTTTTATTGTTAGCTTTCAGCTCTCTCGTATATGAAAAGCCTCCTAGTTTGAGCGGATTGTCAGTCGTAGGAGCACTAAGTTGACTACATGCTCGTTCACATGTGAAGGACAGCCAAACAAGCAATTTTGTAATCTGCCCAGCGAATCAGTATCTTGCTTAACACACAAGGAGTTGGGGGCCAGTAGAGAAGATGTTCTTCGCTCTTGACTACTCTCATATACGCATGAAGCGCCAGGCCTTAAATGGGCGAAAGCCCAGTGCCAAAACTGTGAGTAGGCGATACCTCTCCCTGTCGCCAATTACCAGCTCTGCAGACAGCTCTGGAGATTCTTCGCTAGTCTTATGGAGCCGGGATTTAAACTTAAAGAAATATACTTTACCTGCTACTGTTAATAGATTTTCCGATGAATATCGGGCTTTTGGCTCGTATTCCTAGCTGACAAGCCCTTGTGTCACTTTTTTGGAAGCGAGTGGATTTGTTGTATTTGTGTGCTATCAGCCAAGGCGTTCAGCCTTTGTCCGAGGAAAATCTCCAATTATACCCATAAATAAATTACTGATACTTAGTCACTAGTTAGAAATGGCACTCGATGATGTATACATAAAGTATTTGTCGTTATCCTAGAGCATGTGGTACGACTAGTGTACATAGGGTAGGTGGGATATCAGTGCGTCGGGGGTATAGGTAGTCTATGTATTAAAGTACATTTCTGTAGACACATTGAGACGGTGTTATTATTTCTTTCACAACCTTGGCCCTGATTAATCCTTGTCCAAGGTGATATAATGGAATCTAGCTGGTTGCAGTCAGCCTGCGTTCTGATTTCCTGGTTGCTGTGAAAGGCGTGTACGCTACACCCATCACAGATGCACTGCCCCGGGTCTCGACCTGTCAGACTCGTAGTATTCAACCAACAGTTAACGTGGGCAGATTCCTGCATGCACATAAGCGCCCTTCAGTGAGCTAATACCGAGCAAACGCAACACACTCAGCGTTTATCCTAGGGTGGTGATGATTTTGTGTGGGGCATTTGGCATTGATGCGTGAGTACAACTGACCATGTACGTAACAACGCATGGGTGTTTCATCTTCCGAAGAACGTCTACTCCTCAAGAGGCTCCCTGCAGTTTCAACCACATGTAGAGAAGTATTACACTTGCCTGAACAGCGCTATAGTCTCTGTTACAAAACCACCTTATGTGTACAAGACAATCTTAATCTGAGGGGTCGAGCAATTAGTGGAAGCAATCAACCATGTAAAGAGCTTACATCTGACTAGCGCTGCTTGCAACAGTCATCCCTCTTCGGTGGGTTTGTCTGGAAAGTCTTACTCCTGTGTTGTTGTGTGTGGGCCCTTGTTGCCATCTGACCAGACTGAACCAACAGACGATAGACAAGTGATATGTTGGTTGATATAATTTGGACCTAATCAAGTGATTGAGCATATCTTTTGATTGCTTGTCCCAGTCCTACAAGGCGGCAAATGCAACTCCTTCACCTTTCAAGATACATGTACAAAAACATATGATCACGCTCACGATCAACAACGAAAACACCATTTAATATGGCGCCGTATTTTCCCAATGCGATCTGGAATCGTACCATGGGTTATCTGATCCCCATGGTGCCTCACACGCGCTAAGAATCACGTAACCAAGATTCCCGCTCACTTCGACCAACAGACTTAGCCTCCTTGTGCCTAGTAACCCGAAGGCTTCACCACATCGCTCAACCTCTACTATACCATACTATCAACGTTACTAGCAAGACTGCTATGACCTACTCCCCACACTACCATAAATGGCCAGGCTTGCTCCTCACGATAATAGCGAAACAGCCACACCTTGCAAGATATATACGAGTCCTGGTCCTATCGGATATGATAACCCTCCGCGAATCGCTATCGATTGGCTTCCCTTGGGATGCCCCACGCTCTATCCGATGCGCATTGAACACAGAACTGGCACACGAAGGATCCAGTGTGCTACCTATTGCACTTCTCCTTTACGCTACTATGGTCCAGAGAATCATTTTCTTCCCTGCTGACGTGGACGGAATTGAAGTCACTCGGATCTTAACATCATGGCGCCCACAGGGGATTCAATCACTGTCTAGATTTATCTATCCGCCTGACTCTGGCCCCGATCTTACTCTCGAGCTTGGCCCTTTTGCTAATTACGATCTTCCTTGTCTGAAAGAACTCTATGGGAGAGAGTGACCTGCTTTTCGATCCCACCCTTGTGGACCTCATCCAAAAGCCTGGTCTTTCCATCTTGCACTTATATCATGGAGATTGTACTACGAATTCTGTCTCTCGCTCCCTTAAAGACTCATCGCCTAGTTTGCACATTTTGAAACTTGAGAACTGTTTTGTGGACTCCAACAGCCTTGAAAGGGTTCTGAAAAGTTGCCCAAAGCTTAGTACTCTCGCTATTCATGTAGCCGAAATAGCAGGGGCCGATCATGGCGACTTCTATTGGACTGTTGATCTCGAACATATCGGACAGGCTCTACGAGACCACGCGACCAATCTGACTGATCTCAGCCTGGACTTCTCCAAATTCAAGATCACGCGGGAAACAACTGGCCGAATTGGGTCTTTACGCGGTATATTGGGTCTCCGCCATTTGCAATTTTATAGGAAAAATTTGATCGTTGCTCAAGGCTGGCTTGTAGATGAAGCACAGGAGCAGGGTATTTTACCTCTGGAGAGTGTACTTCCCCCATCGATAACAATACTTGACATATATTACGAGAAAACCGGATTCCATCATCGCCTCCAGAAAATGTGATATGTGGGGAACTAGACAGTATCCTCTCTAGCGGACGTCTCCAGTCTCTTCGACGAATCCAGTCCCAGAGATATCACGGTTCTCCAGACGAACTAATCTTGTTTCAAACTAAGAGGCCTGTTTGGTCCTTTGACTCCAAGAGGACGCTGTCTGAGGATCAGAGCGGCTTTATTGAGCACATGCCGATCAACAGATTGAAGCTTTAGGTAAAATAACAAAGCACTTGGACTGCTCATAAGATTCAAGCGTACTGAATATTTGGTTCAACTCTAAGAAAAAACGAATGACGATTAGTATGTAAAAAATGTATAAGTCTAGGTACAATACTATTTAAATACAAAAGAAATATAGTAGTACATCTGATGACTAGGTCAGGTAGGGACTATTAATACTGCTGCAACCAGAGCCTTGAATGCCTCTCCTATCGCGCCATATTGAATATTCTGTAAGGCATACGATATACTAAAGTCTTGTTTGATAAATGAAAATTGTTGCAATGCTTAATTTTGTAAAATGGCTTAGGCCAAATGCAGAACCATCTTGGCTAAATGATCTGGCGTCTCCAGAGCTAACCAAATCCATGAGCAAGCCAGGTTCCCAGCAGACAACCTTCTGAGCGCTGTATTCATTTTCTTTGGCTTGTAGGGTTGCAATTGTTGTCTGCTTCTTTCATCCCTGTATTGTGTAATACTAATAATGCGGCTCTAGAGGCTTACTAACTGCCACATAATTGAGGGAGTATCATTATAGATGATGATAAGAGATGGCGCCGAGAGGCCGAACGAGGGGACTACGATGTGTAACAGCTAGAAAGATATAAGAAGATTTGAACAAGGCCTTGACCTGCGAGGTCTTACAACTTGGCCGCCGTCGTTTCTGGTTCGATGACTTGATGCCAGGCCCTCCGACGATTTTTTGGATATAACATGAAAGTAAATGTGAGGAAATTTAGATGGAGCCCTCATTCCCAACGACAAGAATAGCTGCTGCAGCTACCATGAAGAGACGAGGGTCTTTGAAGATTGTTTGAACTGTAAGTTCAATCCCAGCTTCTCGGGCGGTAGCAACTAGGCGAATTGCGATAATGGAGTCGCCGCCAATCTGGAGGAAGCTATCATCGCGACCAATGCTGTCAATTGACCGATTCAAGATAGAACCCCACAAAGCTTGCATACGGGTTTCCATGGGTGTTTGTGGTGGCCTCTTTTCCGCGTCCACCAGGGAGTAGTGTTGACGTTGCTCCTCGGACAAAGCAGATGCACATGTTTTCAGAGTTTTCCGGTCGAGTTTGGAAGAGATGCCGACCGGGAAAAAGGTACAGGGTATGAAGATGGAAGGAATCATATATGCCGGGAGACGAAGCTTCAGTGTACCTACTAGCTCCAACAGTTGGGACTTGCGTTGCTCAGATATGGTGTGGAACATGTCCTCAGCGTTAATCTCTTGATTTGTACACAGTTTCCTGGATTCAGAATCGGAGAAGTATGCAACTATCTCTTTCGATGATGTCCTTGGATTGTCTAGTACGTCCACGGCAACCTGAGCTATTCCTTTGGAGGCGGCTAGGATGTTGTTCTCGATTTCACCAAGCTCGACTCGGAGACCCCTGATCTTGATCTGTGTTCCCTTGCGGCTAATGAACTGCATCATTCCATCAGGCTTGTAACATGCAAGGTCACCGCTGAGGAAGGCTCTGTCCATGCGTGGGGTCTCCCTATGGGGAACCCAGGATGGAAGATCTGTGATGATAGTTTCTTTAGACTTCTCTTCGTTTGCAAGATACTCGCGGAGCACCGTGGGCCCTTGGATTAAGATCTCTCCGACAGTTCCTATGGGGGCTAGTTGATTGGGGTTTTCTGGGTCAACAATCCAACAAGCAGCGCCCATCGATGTGCCTATTGTATCTGACAAATCATTAGGCGTGGCGTATTCATAGAGAGAACTGGCGACGCAGGTCTCTCCAGGGCCCCAGCCATTAAAAAGCCGCACTTTCCCATACCATTGGCTGAGAAGGTGCTGCGGTACGGCTTCACCAGCCAAGAACAGTATTTTCAACGAAGGCACTTGCTCTGGCGTTAGCGTTAGAGCGAAGGAGGGACTGACGAAAGCATGGCTAACTCTGGCTTGTTGAATAAAGACAGCCGCGCCATTGAACCTTGCTTCCTCAGATGGAACACATACGCAGGCACCTGAGAAAAGGGCCATGAAGATCTCGCCGATCGAGAAATCAAAGACGAAGTTTGCGAATTGGAGAATCCGAGCCTCGGCACTGATTCCGACGCGCTTGCAGATTGTTTGTTGTGCAGAGCTCAAGGCTCGATGCTCGAGAACAAAACCCTTCGGCATGCCCGTACTTCCAGAAGTAAAGAGAACATAGGCCATATCAGCAGGTGTCACCGGCCTCAGCGGCCCCTTGAATTCCCTATCAAGGCGAGACAGCTGGCAATCAAGATCAGGTGTAAGTTCCAGGATATTCTGCACTAGATTGGTGGACACACTGGCATGAGTTGCTGACACAATCATCAATTTTGACTTTGTTTTTTCAACAATGGTCTTCCTGCGTTCAAACGGATGCTCAGGATCAAGGGGAGAGAAAGCGGCACCGGTTTTATTAATTGCAAGAATAGCAACAAAATACCACTTAGACTTCTCTATGCAGACGTGAACAACATCGCCAACTTGGATGTTATAAGTATCGATGAGGTGTTGGGCAAAACGATCGGACGCATCCGCGAGTTCCCTGTATGAAAGGGTGCCGTCCCAAGCGTGAATAGCGGGCGAATTGGGGTTCTGTTTTGCGTGGCAGTCAATAATGTCATGAATACAAGCATCGAAAACCTCAGGCTTCGGGTTTCGGCTCGTTGCAATTTGTAAGTCCCAAGGAGAAGCCATACATATATCGGACAGGAGCTTGTGCTTATTGTCAGTGAGGAGCTCGGAGAGAATCTGTTCGAATTGATGATAAATTGCTTCAATCTGTGCTGATTGCAGAACCTCCGTGTTGTAGATAAGATACAATTCTATCTTATCTTCATCCAGAGCCCCTTGCATCACTAGAGGATACGTGAAGTATCCTTGCAGCCAATCCTCGTTGTTGACGTCCTCATTCACAGGAAGCATAAGCTCTTCGTTATCAGACTGTGTGTAATCCAAGCGCTGAACCGGCTGCACTACTGTCAAACTCGAGCAGTCACAAGCCTCTCTGGCGTCAGAGCTGACTTTGGCGATGTTTGATAGCCCATACTGTTCATAAGCTATCATTTCGATTGCTTGTGACTGTACGGATTCTAGGAATTCGTGGATGGTCTTCTGACGGTCAAGATGGATTCTTACGGGAACGGTTGTGATCATTGTGCCAGGGATATTTTCGATGCCTGCAACAGGTGCGTTACGTCCGGCGACAGTTGCCGCAAATGTTACATCTTCGGTTCTGCAATATTGAGCAAGAAGAATTGCCCATGCGGCTCGAATCGCGGTAGCCCGAGTAACCGAAGTCCGCTGAGATTCTGAGATGGAGAGGCACTTCTGAAAAACTCGTGTCCTTTGAGAAGCTCCCGATGGCTTCGGCGGGAAAGATGCTCTCTGGGCACCCTGCAGCTGCTTCTCCCAGAAATTCTTATTGGCTTCATCATTGGTCTGAAGGGTATATGCAATGAATGAAGAGTATGGCCTGACGTTGGGAAGCTTCTCATTGCGATAAATGCGGTAGAATGTATCCATGACTAGGCGAATTGTCCACCCGTCAAATACCGAGTGATGAACGAACCAGGTGAAATGGTAAGCGCCTTCTTGATCTTGCCGCAGAACAAATCTGTTAAGCGGACTCCCATAAGTCATACTGATAACATCCAAGGATGTGTTCTCCCATGTGACATTGTCCTTGGTAACAACCAGTAAATCCGTCCCTTGAACCTGAACAATTCTGGATCGCAAGTTGGCACAAGCTTGAACAGTGCGTTCCCAAGATTCTTTAAAGAGCCCTATATCGATCTTACTTGAAAGGGGGAAGTCGTGTTTGGCTATGTACGACTTCGGCTGCTTCATGGTGAGTGCAATGAGGCCACTCTGGAACGGTGTACAAGGATACATGTCCTCGATCTGTCGGAAGTTACGCATCTTGCATTGCTTAGCGGCTTCTGGAACAGCCATGCTGACAGGGAAGTGGTTTGCAAGCAGGCTGAAGCGTTCAGGATCTTTTTCAGTTTGAATACTACCCCCCTGAAGGGTAGCCGCCATTGCGGATAATCTTGGATCCCGGAAGATCGTTCCAACATCAAGACTGAGTCCGATTTCCTGAGCAAGTGTAACCAGTCTAATGGCACTTATAGAATCTCCTCCCGCTCTGAGGAAATTATCATGACGACCAATGTCATTGGCATCCACATGTAGGACCTGTGACCAGAGATCACGGAGTTTGTGTTCATTGTCAGTCTCTGGCTGATCGTTGGTACCTTTAACTGGTGAAAATCTGAGCCTATCTTTGACTGAGATATCTTTGACAACAGAGCACAATTTGCGTCTATCGATCTTTCCCGAGCTCTTCCTCTCAGGACCACCTTGGAATATAAGATAAATGCTGGGTACCATGTATGTTGGAAGGGTTTCGCTGAGAGATGACTCCAAGTTATTGATGAGTTTGCGCATTCCGTCTGAAACGTTTTCAAGAACCCCTAGCTTCTCAGCAACCGATTGAGGTCCTTCAGTATACCACATCAGGGCTACAAGAGTGTTTGACTGATCTTCGTTGACAACGGTATCCACAATACAGCCCATGTCTCGTGGAAGATTCTCACTAAGGCGCATTTCAATCTCGCCAAGCTCAACACGTTGCCCGTGAAGCTTGACTTGTGTGTCTTTACGCCCAAGATATTCAAACGTTCCGTCCTCGAGACGTCTAACCAGGTCTCCGGTCAAATAAGCCTTCTCAGCACCAGCATCTCCCGGCAGCCAATCGGCATTCGGTAGCCATGCTTGATTTGTTTGCTCGTCAACGCCGATGTAGCCGCGAGCCATCATTGGGCCTTGAATCATAAGCTCACCAATACATCCAACAGGAATAAGCTGGCGGTGGTCATTGGGATCGACGACCCACCAGGCACACGAAGACGGAACGCCGATATTGTTAGGCTTTGAAATAATTCCGACATCAGCAATCCATCCGCAGATAGACGCCTCCGCCGGCCCATACAAGTTGTGGAGGGTCGCATAGCCCCTCCAATTATCTACCACCTGCTTGGTTACATTCTCTCCTCCGAGGCCAACGTTTTTGATCGTAGGAATCTCAGCCGGTTTGACCAAAGTGGCAAGTGTTGGTGTCAGGAATGTCCAGTTTGCTTTCAGAGTATTAATTGCTCCATGAATGTCATTATATCGCTGCCATTCTGATGGAATACATAGACAAGCACCCCGGGATAAGGATACCATGACATCGATCACGCCAATATCAAATGTATAAGCAGAATAAGAGAAAACCCGAGTACCAGGTCCCCATCCTTGAATGGTACCGTGGCTAGTCGATGTGGAACACGTGTTGCGGTGTTCAAAAACCATGCCCTTTGGTTTACCGGTGGACCCAGAAGTAAACATAACGAAACTTGCATTTGTATACTTCGCAAGGGAGGCGACGGGACTTCGTGGAAGCTTATCGATGAAGTTGCGGTCGATGCAGTACATGGGGACATCGAGGGAACTGGCCACCTCAAGACAAGAATCTCCTGCAAGCACTAAGGTGGCGTTTGTATCTTGCAAAATACTTTTCAAACGGGGGACCGGCGCGCTGAAGTCGAGAGGAACGAATGCACCACCTGCCATATTCACAGCAATCATCGTTATAACCGCCCAGATTGACTTTGGGAAGCAAATTGGGACAAATACCTCAGGGCCAACGCCCAGAGATTGCAGCTTGCCCGCAAGAAGCGTAGAATAGTGCTCAACCTCGCTATATGTCATATCGCCATCCCAAGATACTATAGCTTGTAGATCGGGAGTCCTTTGCATCTGTTGCTGGATCATGTCGTGGATACAAAGATCCGTTGATGGTTTCATATTTTGATGCCGGACTGCATGTTCCTTGTCCCATGTGCCAACCATAGAAATAGTTGAGAGCTTTTGGAACGAGCTGCGTGATATCAGCTGCTGTACAACGCAATCCACCTGGTGCGAAATAGCTTCAGCCATGGTGGAAGAGATAACGTCTACATTATACCCAATGCGAACTTTGGCCAAATCTTGGCTAAAATCGGCCTCGAATAACAGAGGATAGTTGAAGTAGTTCTCCATCTCTTGGTCGATATATTCTGTGTCTTTTCCAAACTCCAAAATGCTCTCATCTGTAGCAATCTCAAATAGCTGTTGAGGTCGAAGGACCATCAAAGTCGGGAACTGGCAGGCCTCTCTGGCGCTCTCGCTGATTTTTGAGATATTCTGAAGACCAAACTGCTCAAATGGCGTCATGTCTGTAGCTTGGTTTTGTACAGAATCCAGGAAATCCTGGACTGTGGACTCAAAATCTAGTTGAATACGCACGGGGATAGTTGTAATCGAGGGACCTGGCATATTACGAAGCCCAGGAACAGATGCATTTCGGCCAGATAGAGTTGCACCAAAACAAATATCGTCACTATTGCAGTGACGGGCCATGACGATAGACCAGGCTGCCCTCAACATATTCGCAACAGTGATTGTATTACCAGCAACCTTCGGCGTTGCAATTTCATAGCGGAGGTACTTGAAGGTCGGCTTTGCCTCGTACACGGCCGCCTGGGGGAAAGAAGGACGGGTGGCTCCCTCGAGCTGTTCCCTCCAGAACTCAGTGGCCAGTTGAAAATCAAGATTGAGGATATATTTGATGAAGCCGCTAAAAGGTGAAATCTGGACAGGGGCTCGATTCCAGTAGCTGTTATATAAGGTGGTAAAGTTGAGATTGACGCATCCTCCATCTAGAACGGAGTGATGTGCAATCCAACTGAAATAAGCAGTCCCATCTGGGTTAGTGATAATTGCGAAGCGATTGAGTCTAGATCCGAAAGTCATTTCATATTTTTGTGTCGCTTTTAGGAAGGCAGGCAAGCTTAATCCTTTGGTATCCTCCCAGCACATGTCATTTGTACTCAAGACCTGGATGGACCGGTCTGGGGAAGCAACAATTCTGGTCCGTAGATTACCGTTGAGCTGTACAGTATTCTCCCAGGCGGTCTTGAAACGCTGCAAGCAGATAGACTTAGATATACGAAAGACATATTTTGTAATGTACGAGCCAATCTGCTTCTCAGCAAGAGCTATGAGTCCTTCCTGCAGTGGCGAACAAGGATACGCATCTTCGATCTTATAGTCGGCCGGCCAGTTGTATTGTTTGTGAATGCTACCACCAATAACCAGCTCACGCTCATTTTCAGTGAGGAGCTCAAATGGCCGAACTTGAATTGCCTCCGCCTCAGGTTCGGTGATGCGTGAAGTTTGGAGGGCGAGCTCATGCAGTTGTGGGGATCTGAAGATATTGTCTACCTTGAGAGAAAACCCTCTATCTCGAGCAGCTGTTACGACGCTGATTGCTGTAATGGAATCTCCACCAATGGCCAAAAAGCTGTCGTCTCGGCCGATAGATTCAGTGGAAACTTGTAGCACGTCTGCCCAAATTTGTTGCAGTAGAATCTCGGTTGAGGTTTCTGGGACTCGCTTCTGAACATCTTGCAGAGCATACTGGGCCATTTTCACTTGAGTGAGCTTTTCAGTCTCGGCGCGCAGACGTTTGCGGTCGAGCTTCGAGGTCGTAATGAAGGGCATATAAGAACAAGAAATGAAGAAGGTAGGTACCATATATGGGGGCAAAATCGTTCTCAATTTCTTGGACAGGACAAAATAGTCCGTCTTCGTATCGGTATCCAGAGGTTGAAAGAGTTCGTCATCACGTGGCTTCTCGATGTTATTTGCCATTGTTGAGCAAAGATAGGCACAAAGATGGGCACCGGTGGCGTTGCGGAAGACATCTACAGCTATTTGCCGGACACCAGGCATATTGGTCAGAATCTGGTGTTCCACCTCGCCCAATTCAATACGCAGCCCTCTGATCTTAACCTGAGTATCTTTACGGCTGTAGAACTCCAAGAGCCCCTGGTCGTTGAGGTAACATAGGTCACCAGTCTTATAAAATCGCCCCCAATGAGGTTTGTCGGCATTTGGCATCCAGCGGGGGATGTCACAGGAGACAGCTTCTCCAGTTCGTTCGGGGTCCCTAAGATATTCCCGGAGCAGAGTAGGGCCCTGAATGACGACTTCTCCAAGGGTTCCGACAGGGGCAAGCTTATGGTGATCATCTGGGTCTACAATCCAGCAATGGCCCCCTATTGGCTTGCCAATAGTGAGAGGCGATTCATCTAAGCTCGTCCACTCATGCATAGAGCCGAAACAGCAAGCTTCGGCCGGACCCCAAGCGTTGATCACACGAGTCTTACCGACCCAGGTCTCAAAGAGGTCTCGTCCGACAGCTTCACCTCCGAGAATCAAGAGCTCCACTGATGGTACGGACTCAGGATTGATTGTTCGAGCAAAGGATGGCGTTAAAAATAACCAGTTAGCTTCCGTACGGCGGATGAAGTCAACTAAACTATTCATTCGAATGTCGTCTGATGGGATGCAAATGGTTGCACCTGCCATGAGAGAATCCACAGTTTCGCCAATGAAAAAATCGAAGACAAATGAGGCAAATTGGAGGACTTTGATACCCGGACGAGGGCCAATTCTCTTCTGAACTGCCCTTTGGCTCGTACAGAGCGCACGGTGTTGCATCACGAACCCCTTGGGGACGCCAGTGCTGCCTGAGGTGAAGAGAACATATGCTATATCACTCGGACCAGCAATACCATGCAAAATATTGACATCAGGGTGAGATTGTTCGAGGGCAGAGATGAGCTGCCGGTCAATCTGCAGTACTTGACCAAGAAGTTGTGCAGCTAGCCCAGCATGCTGGGGAGATGCCAAGATCAACTTAGATTGAGTTTGGGACAATACCTGTCGGTGACGCTGAACTGGATGGGAAGGATCCAGGGGTACCCAGGCGGCACCGGCTTTATTAATAGCCAAAATCGCAATGAAATACCAAATAGTCTTTTCGAATAAAACGTGGACCAGATCGCCCCTGTGGACTTCGAAGGCTGTAACCAAATGCCCTGCCAGGTTGTCCGCGCCAGTATCAAGTTCTTTAAAAGTCAGAGTAGCGTCTCCAGATTGAATGGCAACGGCGTCAGGTTGCTCCCGAGCCTGTTTGGACAGTCGAGAATGGAGCGTGTCCTCTACGATCTCAGGGACCTCGGAATTGAACTTCATGGCCAGCTCCAGATCCCAACGGCCAGCTATGGAGATTTGGTTAAGACGTTGGTCACCGTCGCTAACAAGACTCTTGATCGTGTGCTCAAGATGATTAGTCAAAGCCGTAACCTTGTGCTCTCCAACGATGTTGATGTCATAACTGACATGCAGCTGAATCAACGTGTCTGAAATAATAGTTTGAACCACAAGTGGGTAACTGAAATATCCTTCCAAGGAACCAGAGGCCTGCTTGTCGCCAGACGAAGAAAAAATGGACTGCGCCATGCTCCCCATTTCTGCCATCTTCTCCGATGGCTGAACAGCAAGTAAGCTAGAGAAGTTGCAGGCGTCGCGAATGGAGTCGCCCAGTTTGAGGATGTTCTGTAGGCCGTACTGCTCGTATTCGAATATCTCAACAGCCTGTTGTTGCACGTCCCGCAAGAACTCACTTGCTTGCTGTACTGGGTTGACCCGAATTCGGACTGGTACAGTAGTCACAACCGGGCCGGATATATCACTTATACCGGACACGGCAGCCTGCCGACCAGATATCGAAGTGCCGAAGCAAACATCATCTGCGTCACAGTACTTTGCTAGTACCAAGGCCCAAGCAGCTCTCATAATGGTCGCGTTGGTGATTGAATCATGTGTAGAGGGAGGTAAGTCAATCGTCTTCGCCATCACACTGGTCGTCTTGGATTCATATCCGTGTTTGATCGGTGGGAAGACAGCTCGCTGAGCGCCCTCGAGCTGCGCAAGCCAGAACGCCTTTGCAGCTTCGCGGTCTAATCTGAGCATGTGACGAACGAAATAGTCAAAGGGTTTAATGTTTACTTGTCCAGTTTGAAAGTAGGATTGTGCTAGTGTTCTCAAGGCCAGTTGCAATGACCAACCATCATATGTTGCATGATGCGTTACGAGAACAAAGTAACAATCACCGGTAGACTCTTTTACTAAGGCCCACCGGTTCAAACGTGAACCTAGACTCATCTTCAAATCCTTCATTTTTTGGACGAAATCTGTCAGCTCCATACCTTCCGTTCGTTCCCAGGTAGTATCATCTTGTATCACTAATTGCAAAGTTGTCCCAGAAACGTTGACAATACGGGTTCGGAAGTTTGAACATATGTGCACGGTTCTGTCCCAAGCGGCTTGAAAGAGATCAATGTTGGTGCTATCGGCGAGTTTGTAGATCCATCGTGCGATGTAAGACCCAGGTTGCTTCACGGCGAGGGCCATGAGGCCCTCCTGGAACGCAGTCACTGGCATAGCGTTCTCAATTACGTCGCAGCTTTCCAAGCCACATGCTTCCCGACAGTGCAGTTCCCAGTCGCCTTGAAGAGATCCTGGCAGTAAACTGAATGGCTGGATGTCAGCGCACTCTTCCTCGTCTGGGGTAATCTCGATCGCAGAAGCAGCCACCATAAGAAGTCTCGGGTCGTCAAAAATACTTTTTACGGTGAGGCCGATTCCTTGTTCTCTTGCTGCGTTGACAAGGTGGATGGCAGAGATCGAGTCTCCGCCAATTTGTATGAAGCTATCATCGCGGCCGATAGATTCTGCTGGTATCTTAAGGATGGAGGACCACAGATTTTGCAAGCGAATTTCCATCTCTGTCTCTGGTGCCCTCTTTTTCGAGCTAACCAGGGAGTAAAGATGAAGTTGCTCACGGCTCAGTTCTTTCGTGGACGCCTGCAACGCGTTGCGATCAAGCTTGGAGGAATGGCCAATCGGCATGAACGTACAAGGAATGTACATAGTTGGAATCATATATTTTGGTAAAACGATGCGGAGTTTCCCAACCAGCTGCTGCAGCATCTGATGGACCTCTGGCGTAATGACTGAAAACATGCTCTGTAGAACTAGGCCTCCAGAGTCAAGCATTTGTCTCGACTCGGAGAAGGAGAAAAAGGCAACTAGATGGACCGCCTCTTCGGCTCGGTAGACGTCCACAACAACTTGTGCCACCCCGTTCAGCAAGGACATTATGTTTTGTTCAATCTCACCCAGCTCTACCCTAAGACCACGAATTTTTACCTGGGTATCCTTTCTGCTTACAAACTCCAGCGCACCGTCTGCGTTATAGAAAGCAAGGTCCCCAGATTTGAAAGAGCGATGAACGTTGGAAGTCCAAGGAAGACTATCATCAATAATCGTAGCTTTGGTCTTGGCCTCGTCCGCAAGGTATTCACGAATCACTGAGGGGCTTTGAATCAAGATCTCCCCCACTGTACCAATAGGTGCTAATTGTTTGTGGTTATTCGGGTCAACAACCCAGCAAGACGATCCAACAGCATGACCAATGGTGGCCGGTGAGTCGTCGACGGACTGATATTCGTGAAACGCGCAAGCAAAACAGATTTCACCAGGGCCGTACATATTTATCAACCGTACCTTTCCAAACCAAATTTTGAGAAGATCGTGCGGTACTTGTTCTCCTCCAAGTCCAAGAAGTTTAACAGAAGGCACATCCTCAGGCTTCAGCGTGCGAGCGAAGGCTGGACTAATCAACAAGGTATCAACGTGAGCTTCACGAATGAATGCCTGTATATTGTTCAGTCGCGCTTCCTCTGAGGGAACGCAAATGCAGCTTCCATTCATGAAGCTTTGGAAGATTTCTCCAGTAGAGAAATCAAACACGAAGTTACTGAACTGCAGAATCCTCGACTCAGAGTTGACCTTGGTGACTTCTGTAATAGGGCGATGGGATGTATGCACCGACCGATGTTCCATAACATACCCTTTAGGCACGCCAGTGGTGCCGGATGTGAACAAGATATATGCAACGTCGTTCGGCGTAACGGCCGTCTTAGGACATTCAGACGTATCGATGCTAGCATCTAATGATGCACTGACGACGATGACATGCTGGGCAATTTCCTGTGACATAGTGGCATGCTCGGCCGAGACGAGCATCACAGTTGATCCAGTTTTCTGTACCATATACTGCTTACGCTGTTTTGGGTGCGCCGGGTCGATGGGCGCGAAAGCTGCACCAGCCTTGTTGATGGCCAGGATGGCAACGAAGTACCACATGCTTTTGTCGAAACACACGTGGACTACATCCCCCACCTTGACCTTGTAAACATTAATGAGATACATTGCAAGGCGGTTTGCTGCCTTGTTAAGTTCGGAGTAAGTGAGTTGTCCATCCCAGGCATAGACGGCGGGCGAATCCGGCCTATTCCTCCCATGCTCCTCAACAATATGATGTACACATGTGTCACTGATGACTGGTGATGGATTGCGAGCTATCGCCGTTTTAACATCCCAAGGACTAGTCATGGTGATGTCTTTCACTAGCTTCTCGGAATCACGAATAAGCTCCGAGGCCACCTGCTCGAAGTGACACGACATTGCTTCGATCTGAGCGTGATGTAGACAGGTAGTGTCGTATGTTAACGAAATCTCGATCTTATCATCATCAAGCAGGATGCTCTCCATGACCAGAGGGTAGGTAAAGTACCCTTCAAGCCAATCATTCACCACCTCGTCACTTGACACTGGTACCAGGATCTGGTCGCTAGAGATATGTCCAGATGTCTCGCCTGTCTGAACGACGATCAGACTTGAGAAATTGCATGCCTCCTTGGTGTTTTCATTGATCTTGGAAATTCTCTGGAGACCAAACTGCTCGTAAGCCATCATATCTGCCGCCTGGTTCTGAATTTGAATCAAAAACTCGTTCACTGAAACGTCTTGTCTCAGCTTGACATACACAGGCACCGTGGCTATCATCGCTCCTGAGATATTCTCAACGCCCTCAATGGGAGCACTTCTGCCCGAAACCGTCGCGCCAAACATAGCATCGTCAGTCCCGCTATATCTAGTCAACATTATTGCCCATGCTGCTCGAAGGACCGTCGCCTTTGTAATTGAGCTAGAACGAAGCTTTGGCAAAGAGATAGGCCTCGTATAAATCTTGGAGCTTCCAGATGCGGAGTGATGGTTTGACGGGAAAGGTGATCCACGAGCATCCTCCAACTCCTTTGTCCAAAAAGATTCTGCGGCTTTGTCGTTAATGCTTAATGTGTAGGAGATGAACTCCGCATAAGGTCGAGCATCGGTCAGGGCAAGACTGTTTTGATAGAGCTGTGCCAAAGCACTCATCACGACGCGAAGGGTCCAGCCATCAAAGGTTGTGTGATGGCTAAGCCAAAGGAAGTAACGGTTCCCTTTGCCGTCGCGGGCAACTCGGTAGTGGTTAAGCGCTGAACCATATGTCATCTTGATATCATTTGTAGCCTTGACCATGCCTTTGAGATCCATGTTTTCTTGAAACACTTCCCAATGGAAATCGTCCTTGATAATGGCCTGGACTGCCACGTTACCAATTTCAATTATTCTTGTCCGCAAGTTGGTGCACACCTCCGCAGTCTTTTGTAGAGCTGCACGGAATCGAATCAAGTCGACTTCAGGTGCTAGCTTGAACATGTGCCGGGCGATGTACGATCCAGGCTTTCTGAGAGTTAAAGCCATGAGGCCCTCCTGTAACTTCGTACAAGGATATGCATCCTGAACTAAAGAAGATGAAGAAAGGCCACAGCCAATCTGTATCTCAGAGAGAAGCCTCTCTGTTTGAATACTTGATACCATGCCAAAGGGCCCTATATTGGTAGCGAACGGCTTGTCTGCTTGAGTTATCCGCTCAGACATCGAGGCAAGCTGTGGCTCTCGGAAGATTGCCGAAGCATCAATGAGCAGGCCCCGCTGTCTTGCGACGGACACGAGTTTGATGGCATTGATGGAATCTCCCCCGAGACGCAAGAAGCTGTCGTACTTCCCAATATCCTCACTGTTGATCCCAAGTATTTGACTCCACAAGTCTCGTAGCTTAAATTCCATCTCCGTGGTTGGTGGTTCACTTTTCAATACTTCGGGGGAAAATCGCAGGCGGTCTTGAGGTGAAACAGAGGCAGCAAGAGCTGCTAATGACTTTCTATCGACCTTTCCTGAAGTCGTCGTGGAGGGTGTACCTTGAAGCACTAGATACGACGACGGCATCGCATATGAAGGCAGTAATCTTTCTAAGGAGTTGTTGAGCGACGATATCAGAGACTGGGTCTCTGGGGATACGAGGTCTAGCAACCTGGCTGGGCCTTGTGTTATCGCCTCCGAACTATCTGTATACCAAATCAAAGCAAACAGATCAGTAAGGTCTTCGCCTTCTCTTCGGACAATCTCAACGATGGCGCTCATCTCTTTAGGGAGAAAATTGTACATCAAGCTTTCAATCTCTCCAAGCTCAACTCTTTGACCGCGTATCTTGACCTGGGTATCCTTACGACCAAGGTAGTCATAGGTACCATCTGCATTACGACGAACGAGATCACCAGTCTTGTATGCTCGACGATGACTTAGTTCACCACCTGGGAGCCAGTCAACCCTTTCAATCCAGTTGGAAGCTTGTTCAGCGGACACGTTGATATAGCCACGGGCAAGCATCGGACCTTGGATCAAGAGCTCACCCACGCACCCAACAGGGACTAACTCCTTGATATTTTCCGGGTTGACTACCCAGAGTGCGCTGGCTAATGGAATCCCTATATCAAAGGGCCTTCCATTTTCTCCGACGAGGTTGTTATGGGCGCAGCAGTTGCCTTCTGCTGGTCCGTACAACCCAATGAGATGTACATGGTCTTTCCAGCGGTTCGAAGTTTTCATAGTGATAACCTCTCCAACGAGAACAACCATTTTGAGTAAAGGAACCTCATCCGGATGCAAGAGATTGGCCACTGTGGGGGTACAGCTTAAATAATTCGCCTTAAAAGAGCGAATAGAGGCTGCTAGGTCATATAACCTGTCGTGATCAGTTGGCACGCAGATACATGCTCCTTGACTCAGGCTTCCCATCACATCGAAAATGCCCATGTCAAAAGTATAAGCAGCGAATTGGAAAACGCGGGTTCCTGGCCCTACTCCAAGCTTCTCTGCGTATCCACTGCAGAACGAGGTGCAAACCTGATCGTGTTGAATTACAATGCCCTTGGGCGCACCAGTCGATCCAGATGTGAAGATAACGAAGCTTGCGTTTTCTGGCTGGGTGGCGCATGAGACTGGCTGCGCAGGATCAGGCAGCTCAAGAATGGTGTCTTTGTCCACAAGAAGCACACGGGATTGCAGCGCATCCAAAACCTGCCGATTTGACGGTGGTCCAATAACGAGACTCGCACTAGTGCCTTTGACAATGTTCTGGAGACGTGTAATTGGTGCGGCTGGATCGAGCGGCACAAACGCACCACCAGCCATCTGGATAGCTACCATCGTAACGATCGCCCATACGGACTTGGGAAAACAAAAAGGAACAAGAACTTCCGGCCCCACGCCAAGTGTCTGTAACTTAACTGCGAGTCGAGCACTGTAGAGACCAAGCTGCTTATAAGTCATATCTCCATCCCAAGCTGCGACAGCTAAGTCGGAGGGCCGGGCTTCAATTTGCTCCTTAATTAGCCAATGGGTGCAAGAGCGGGTAGACTCGCATAGCTTTTGTGAGTTGACCGCATGCTGCAGATCCCACGAACTAACCAAAGACACATCTCCAAGCAGATATTCATCTGGCTTCGTTAGAAGTTGCTGAACAGCGTAATCAAGATGATTTGATATGGCAACGATTCTTTCGTCTGATATGACGTTACGGTCATAAAAAAATCGCTGATCAATCTGATCCTCATACACGTTACTGACGAGCACAAGAGGATACTCAAAGTAATTGCCCATGGACTCGTGTCGGATTTCACGTTCTTCGCTTCCTTCCAACAGTACCGATTGGCCACCAGATTCTCTGTCACTCTTCTTGATAGTTGGCTGAATAACCAACAGCGTGCGGAAGTCAGTCGCAGCTTGTGCATCTTCTCCAAGTTTCGAGATATTTTGCAGGCCGGCTTGTTCATGGGGAACAGTGTCCAGGCCGTCCTTTTGAACCGCATGAAGAAAAGTGGAAATCTTCTCACTATGATCAAGATAATATCGGACTGGAACGGTTGCAATTGTAGGTCCGGGCATGCTGTCAATCCCTGGAACCGGCGCTTGTCGGCCAGAAACAGTTGCTCCAAAGCAGACATCGCTCGTATCCTCATACCGACCTATAACCAAGGCCCAAGCGGCCCGGATTATGCTTGAATTGGTTATTGTTCCTCTCAGAGAGCCTTTCAAGTTAATCAAATGACTGTGCATTCGAGGATCGCGAGATGACTTGTGGCTGTGGGGTGGGAATGTCATTCTCTTGCTCCCCTTTAACTTCTGTGCCCAATATTCTCCAGCGGCCACTCCATCAATTTCTCGGGTGTACTTGATGAAAAGGGGATATTCCGCCAGAGGATCTAACTTAGATCCCAGATACGTCTTCTCAAAAATGTCAAAGAGGATATTCACCGACCAGCCGTCGTGGAAAGTATGATGGGCCATCCAGACAAAGTATATGTCATTCTGGCAACTCAGGATCGTGTTTTTCGACAGGGATGTACCATATCCCATATATTCAAAGTTTTGTTGGCTAATGTATGTGGCCGGATCAGTGGCAGTATCGTGCTCCCATGCAGTGTTTTCTTTGACGACCAGTTGAATGCTTTCCCCGTCCACAAGAACAATTCGAGAGCGCATGTTTGGGCATTGTAGAACAGCATTTTCCCAGGAAGCCTTCATCAAATCGATATCCACATATTCAGGAATTTTGAACACAAACTTGGTAACGTAAGACCCTGGTTGTCTCACTGAGACTGCCATTAAACCTTCCTGCATGGATGAGCATGGGAAGGCATCCTCGATCAGCTGATCCTCGGAAAAGCCACAGAGTTCTCTTATTTCCTCACTTTGAACTTTCCGAATGGCCTCTTGTCCGAGAAGACTGAATGGCCTGATTGGGAGTGGTTTAGTCGACGTTCCCTGCTCGAGGTAAACGGCCTTTGTGGCGACTGAGGATAGAGAAGGACTGTCAAGGACATCCTTGGTCAGTAGTCCAATGCCTTTCTTTCGGCAAGCACTAATTAATTTGATGGCAGAAATGGAATCACCTCCTATTTCCAGGAAGCCGTCGTCTCGGCCAATACTCTCCTGTGCTAGTTGCAACACTTGAGCCCAGAGCACCTGTAGAGAACGCTCCATCTTCGTCTCGGGCATGATCTTCTTGGTATTGATACGTGAATAACGGCTGATGGCGGACCTGTCTAATTCCGAAACCAGCTGCTTCAACCTTTTCCTATCCGCTTTCAGGGACGAATTAATAGCCATAAAGCGACAGTGAAGAAAGCAAGTCGGAATCATATAGCTGGGTAGCTTGACACCTAATTTCGTGACCAATCCAGCCGCCAGAGTGTCATTCTCCTCGGAAGGAAGCTCAAATATGTCAGTGGCGGAAAAACTCCCAGACTTCCTGGCATCAGTAAAGCAGAGATAGGCCACAACGTTTAAACCAGCCTGGGTTCTTATGATATCGACCACAACCTGGCATACGTCGTGGAGGTGATCTCGAATATTGCGTTCAATTTCCTCGACCTCAACCCTCATGCCATTGATCTTGACTTGGGTGTCCTTTCGAGATACATAGTCAAATGTCCCATCAGGATTGTAACGGCAAAGATCACCAGTCTTATACCAACGGCTCCAATGTGCAGAGGAGGAATACGGCACCCAAGAGGGTAGTGATTGAACGATACTTGATTCGGTCTTGACTTTATCATGCAGATACTCCTTGAGAAGCGCCGGACTTTGAATGACAACTTCGCCGATAGCTCCAATCGGCGCCAATCGACTTGCATCACTGGGATCGACGAGCCAGTTGTGCCCACCAATAGGGCGACCAAGACACTTTGAAGACTCATGCGGCGCCGTGAACTCGTTCAATGCGGCGATGCAACATGCTTCCGTTGGTCCCCACGCTCCAAAAAGCCTGACCTTGCCAAACCACTGTTCGACAAGATCTTGACTGATTGCCTCACCTCCGACGACCAAGGTCCGCAAGCCAGGCACATCATTGGGATCCAGAGTCTGTAAAACTGAGGGGGTCTGAAATAACCACGTGACTGATTTTTCCTGGATATAATCTGCCAGTCGATTGAGACGGTCCTCCTCCGATGGCACGCAAACACATGTTCCATTTATCAGGGAGGCAAAAGTCTCTCCAATCACCATGTCAAACACATATGAACTGAATTGGAGTAATCGATCTTCAGGACTCAGGCCTGACTTTCTAACCCAGTCCGTTTGGCTAGTGCAGAGCGCTTTATGTTGAATCACAACACCTTTCGGCATTCCCGTAGTTCCTGATGTGAAAATCACATACGCAACCTCGTCTGGTGATACGGCGGCACACCCGTTCGCACTCGACTCGCTAGCCTTGAGTTCTTCATCCAAGCTCTGGCTGACTTCCAGGACACTCTCTCCCATCAACTTGGTGCAGATGGAAACATTGTTGGGTGAAGATAGCGCTATTGCCGCTTTTGACTGACTGACAAGCTTTTCAAGACGTTCAAGAGGATGCGAAGGATCCAGGGGGACCCAGCCGGCCCCTGCTTTGTTCGCAGCCAGCACAGATATGAAGAACCATGCAGACTTCTCAAAGCATACGTGCACCAAATCCCCAGGCTTGATTCCATGCCGATTTTTTAAACGATGGGCCAGCCTATTAGCTGAACAGTTTAATTCCCTGTACGTTAATGTCAAGTCCCAAGCATCGATGGCTACTCTCTCCCCGCCAAGCTCCACCCGCTGCTCGAACATTTCGTGGATGCATCTATCCACCACCTCGGGTTTTTCTTGGTTGGTGTTACAGGCGAAAGAAATATCCCACGGGCCCGAAACTTGGATTTCGCCCAGATGGCAATCAATAGGTCGAACAAGCTGCTTCATGACATGCTCCATGTGATAGTATATCCCTTCCAGTTGTGTTTCTGATACAAGATCAGAATGATAGACAAAATCCATCTGAAACTGGTCGTTTTCCAGACTAGGATGCATGACGAGGGGGTACTTGAAGTAGTTGTTCAAACTTTCTTCGGAAAGCTCAATCTGGTCTCGCTCATGATGCAGAACGGCATCCTCCTCAGTCAGAGCGGCCATGGACGAGCAGTTTTCAGGCTGCATGACCATCACATTGGAGAAATTGCAGGCTTCCTTCGCATCTTGACTGACTTTAGCAATATTTTGCAGTCCAAATTGCTCGAATGCATCCGCTCCCGATACCTTTGATTGGACGCATTCGAGAAATTCTGAAACGGATTGCTTCGCGTCAACAAGAAGTCGGATGGGAATTTCAGCAGTAGTTGGTCCAGACACATCGCTCAAGCCGAAGGCGGAAGTTTCCCCTCCAGTGATTGCAGTTCCAAAGCACACATCAGAAGAATCGCAATATTGAGAGAGCACCATTGCCCATGCTGCGTACAGAATCGTGGACTGCTTAAAGCAGGATTCCGTTCCGCCCCGAAAGGACATCGATATCCTTTTCCTCCGAACTGATAGCTTGGACGTCTTCGTGGGGCTAGAATGAGGATATTGTGATCGTATTGCCCCCTCAAGTTCATTTCTCCAGTAGCTCCTTGCGGCTTCAGCATTGAGTGACTGAGTGTAACGGATGAAGTTAGTATACGGGACGCTTGATCCCAGATCGCTACCATGGTAGGCTCGGTGTAGAGAATCAAGTATCGTCTGCATGGAGGAGGTGTCGAACATGGCGTGGTGAGCAATCCAAATAAAGTATGAGCTTCCGTCATCTTCCTGGATGATCGCATATCGGTTGAGACGACTTCCATACGTCATATTCAATGATCGTACCTGGTTGACATATGCATGAACACTCAAATTTGTGGCAGGCTTCTCCCATGAGATATCATCTGCGATGACAACTTGGAGAGCTTGATCATGAAAAAGAATGATCCGGGAACGCAAAATGCTGTTTTGTTCAATCACCACGTCCCATGCTTCCCTGAGTCGGTCCGAGCGTATACCAGAAGGCAGCTTGTATACCCAACGATGGAAATAGGACCCGGGCTGCTCTTCGCCCATAGCCATAAAGCTTTCTTGTAATGGGGTGCAAGGATAAATGTCCTCAATTTTGTAATCACCCAGGAGTTGACATTGCGACCTGGCATGTCGCAGAATATCGCTCACATTATCTGGAGAAATCATACTGAACCTTTCTGGGCTAGAGTCATGCTGAGGCTCTCCTGATGACCGAGAAGCGGCCGGGTGAGATTCTAGGACGGCCTATGGGGGCTTTAGAAATGACGTTCGGAAGTGGCAATTTGAAGGTACATACGTGGACATTGAATCCTCGAGGGCCAAACGAGTTGACACCGACTTGTTTTGAGAGATCTTCGTCATTTTGGGGAGACGAAGGAGATGAACCTAACATACATCAGTACCAAGGGCTTTGCGGGTCGTACCAAGAACGTTTACCATTTAGATTCTGTGAAGGACTGTTTCGAATCAGCCAGTCAATGGCCTTGAACAGGCCTGCCATGCCAATACCAATGGCCGGCTGATCCTTTTGCCGGTCAGTGGTGATACGCTCGAGGCCAAATACACTTTGCAATGCGACCTTTTCGGGCTCAGCAACCGCAGTGGATGGCGCAACAGTTTGCTATATGATATCAGCGACCTGTGAAAATGGGGAGAAGGGTACGCAAAGAAGAAGGTAGTACTTACTTGGACATTAATGGTGTGTCCAGGGTCTAATCCAGCCTTTTCATAGGCTCTTCGAATAAGAGTCTCATACATACGCTCTGTTGGTAGCTCGGCTTCATGAAATGAGCTATAGTAGTCGGTCTCTGCTGCACGAATCACTGCGCGAACGGGGTTTCCATCCCGCCGAGCAGCATGCAACGGCTTCAAGTAGAGCACAGAAATGGCATCTTGTTCAACAGATGTCGTGAGAAGCGGAGGTTCTGCACAAGCGACAATGGCGGATGTGGCCATACCCATCGAGATAGCATAACACGCTTCATGCAATGCAATCAACCCCGACGAAAACTCGGACATGATCGCCATGCTAATAAAGGTTAAATTTGTAGGCGAAATGGGATGTTTGCGAAGACTCACGAGGGTCCTTGGATGCCAAGCTCCTTTGCCAGGTAATTGATGGGCTCAGTCTCGCCAGAGCCCTGCTTCTCGGTGTCTTTTTCGGAAAATCCGACAAAAAGACCAACATAATCGCCCTCCTCAGGTCTTGTTGCTTCACGCGCATCCTCCATGCACTCTCGCACAACATCATGGAGGTCTCGCAAGCCTATACATTGATCGCAAGTTAGCTTAATTTCTGTGATTCAATGAGGGGGCTAGAATATCATTTCGGACAGGATTGATCAATCTAGAATATGGCCCCCCAGACCAGAATGGTCTCGCTGTTGTCGAGATAGATGTCTCTAGACGACCCGGTCGCGCTTCATGGCTCAAGGCTTACCTGTGTCGTGAGTCTGTTCTGTGAGGCGGTTTGCAGTGCCACAGATGGCAATGCGCAATTGCTGCGAGCTGACGCCACCGTTCTGGTAGCCGTCCATTCTGTCCAAGAGAACCTGTCGTTTCTCGATATTCAAAAGAAGGGAGATGCTGTGTCGTCTTTTCTTTCAGTTCCCTCCAAATCACAACACGAATATTAAAATGAATTTAAATTAAATGAATGAATAATTCGTGAATAAACGAATTTGGCTAAGCAGAATGCTGTAGGTGTTATTTTCTCCTTGCCTGCCACTACCGGGGAATGGTACATGAAAAATCGCAGGAGAAGGGGATCAGCTTCTAAATGCTACGATCTGAGCATTAGGTAGACACTCGCGAAAAGGTAAGGTGCTCAATCGCCACTCATAATTGCAGAAACTTCAGCTTACCCTTGAAGGCCGGCAGGGAGAGTCAGTTCCAGAATGGCGGAACATGGCTGGAACAGCCCCCTGGCATTTTCTCAGGCTACCCAGTGTTCTTTTGCCCGTGGTCTTGGATGATGTGCGAGGCTTTTGCTGTCTTAGACAGCGACAGAGCCAAGTACCTGCTGGTGGCTATGCTTGCCGTAGCCCTGAGCAAATTTGAAAAAAGTCGCCGGGTAGAGAAACTGTATTGGGTCATGATTTGTGTGGGTTAGACGTCGGAGATTTTCATCACGAGACAGCCTAATTGTTGAGACTCGAACGATAAGCACGGCGACGCTGATCCAGACCAGCAGATGGACTTATGTTATGAGAAAGGGGCATACTCATTAATTGATGGGTACTTGTACTGAAGAGGCTCCATACCTTGACTATCATGGGAAATCTACAGCGTAGTGAATTTAAAAATCAGAGGCTGGGGAGGGTAAGAATACGGGTGCAAGCAATCTGTGACTAGGTAGGTAGTCACCAGGAAAGTATGGGTCAGAAGAGGCGAAAGAGTCCGTAATGCTAGCAAGCCAGGTCTCCCTCCGTAGGCAAATTTACAGCCGAGACCGACTAGGATTATCCTCTTGGGCTCTTCTCGCTAATGCCCGTGAGCCACTTAAATCCTGGATGCCATGGCGACGGACATGGTCTTTCCATGGCGCAGCGACCTAGGGTTTGCTCGTGGTCCGATCACCGGTCCGCGCGTGAGATTCTGTCTAAGCTCAGCGGCGATTAAGCAGGCTAGTTCTGGAAATCGCAGTTTCCATCCGGAACGGGTGTTGCAAAGGAGCTGTGGCCGAGACATGGGACTTATTACCCGCACTTAGCTAGCTGGCTGAGAGTCTCTGAGACCCAGCGGCTTCTGCGCTGAGGCTAGCTGGATACTCTGATGGAGAATTGGAATAAGCTGAAGCATATTTCGATAATTCGGACAGTCTTTTCCCCGCTTCAATCCCGCAATGCTCGTTGTAACGCTTGTCTCCATCCGCCTGGAATTGCTTGCATTCCAGAAGTGAGTCGGCCCGAGGCATGTTCTTTGTCATTAGAGTCTCAGGAGAGTGTTTTACAGGAATAGCTCATTTACGTGCAGATAAGATACGAGGGCTAAAATGTTTCATCTTTGCTCACCTTCGGCTCCAGGCCGCTCTTTAGGCCGTGTGGTGATGGTCATTGTAGGGTACCAAGCTCTCGGGGATGAAATCGATCGTTGAGGAAGGTGGCGATTATTTGATCGCTGCCTGATCAGAAGAAGCTCTTTCGCCTTTGCATCCTAAACGATCTATATCATCCCGAGTAAAATACTGCGTACAAATACAGATAAACAAAAGTATATTATACAATTTAGCAGCTTCCACTTCAGCTCAAACCAATGAATGAACCAACTGAAGAGCTCAATAGAATATATTCTTCCGTTTAGGGTAGTCAACTGTACCCTCATATAGACTAATGATTTCTCCCACACAGACTCTGCAATTGGGTGTCAGAGTAGGAGGCCGTCAGCCTGTCTGCTCAGAACAAAAATGCGGTATATTTTTCGCAATCTGAGATTATAATGTTTCTTATTCTTCATACGAGAACATTGCTGTTACTGACCCATTCAAAGATATTGTCTGCAGGTATTGTTGCCGCATGGAATATTACATGCAGCAAATATCTTTGTGATATTTGGTTTAATTTAGAACTGCTTGTGAACCGCTTATCGGATGCTTTCCTGCTGATCATCGAACACGCAAGAATAAATCGCATTGGGGTGAGAAGGATTGGTGACGCAATTTCGAAGCATCAAATCGGTGTGTCGGATGACTCGAATCCGGGCCAACGCACCACAAGTTTGATATTTATACCCTACCTAGATCTACTCATCGCGCATCACATCCCACTATCAGCAAATTTGATAATTACTTTGATCCTGGAAACTTTCACCCTTGGACTCGCAGTCGCTTAAACGCCACCTGCCCCGGTAGGGATAACATTCCCAGGCTCATGGAGCCACCACCCGCGTACATCCCCGCGTGACCACGTAAGACATCCGTCGCGTCAGAGTTCACTCCCTCGCTCCACGCCCTACTCCTTTTCTCTTGCTGTCTGTACCTCAAGTCCTCGACCCTGGAACATGAGTTCCAGCTCTGGCCAACCGAGGAAGGCCAATCTCATGGGGTGTATGTAGTTATACAAATGATGGCTAGCTAGTGTGTAAGATTGCAAAAGTTAATGAGCTAGTCTGCCTGTTATAATTAGTAGGTAATTACTTCTGTGATAAACTAAGCCGAAGGTCTTCGTTGTTCATCATGAAGAAACTGCTGCTGCGATTGGCTGCTCATTCTATCTCAATAGTCACAAGCCTTTCAATTTAAAGCCTAGGCCTTGATATTTCATTACTGCAGATGAAATTGCTGCATCGCATCTCCTATAAGCGAGCTAGTAATATCTCGAGACTTCAAGAGAAGCTTTATCTCGTCCCTGGCTAACTTTGCTACGACCTGAACAGATGAAGCTTTCTGCATCATTCAAGTCACCGCCTCTAAATCTCAACCTCTCCGGATAATGGCAGAGGTTTCGGCTAACCTGACCACCTCCTTGAGAGGTAGTGGAAGCGAATAGTGTGTCGGGGGCTTCGCCCTTCTCCACCCATCTTACGAGTGCTGCAAGTGGATTTGAGGGGACTGGCCCGTAGCCACCTCGACAATGTGCCACACCTGGAGCAAGGAATACTCGATAGAAATCGTCCACAGCATTACGTCCGCCCATTTTCTTCTGCAATTTATCCCAGTACAGCGTCGTTCCAGGGTGGGTGATATAGGCATCTGCCATGCCGTGCCACGTCAAGAGCTTGCCCCCGGCATTCTTGAAGTCTGAAAGATCCGGGTTGTCCGTTCCGAGGATGTCAGTGAAAAGCTGGACTGACCGAAAATATAATGACTCAAACGTATCAAATAAAATATGTTTGGTATCTAGGTCTGGATCTTGAGCAACAAAGTATTTCATCCAGGCCTCCCCGGAACTGAAAGGAATGATCTCTATCGTGCCATTGACAACCGTTGTGTTGGCAAGCCCATCGAAGGCTGCCCCAGGAGGGTTGCCAAACCATAGAAAGTCTCCAGACGTCGTGCGAGCGCCTTCAAGAATCTTAGCAGCAACGTCAGCATGCTCGGTGGTTATAACCACTGAGGTAGAGATTTCGGCGCAATCGACAGTCTGCCCTACAAGAGTCTTCGGGTCAAAATCACACTTATCAGGGGCCGATATGAGGCCATCAGTCGCGCCGTCCTGGGGGTCGCATTGTCTAATTGTAGCAGCTTGGAAAGCCGAGAAGACGCATTGAGGTGGCGCAACGATATTTTCCATTACCACGACGGGCCAGAAGTCTCCAGGTGAGACTCGCGGAGTGAATATGGCAGGAGCGTTGGCCATAATACCATCGAAATCTTCAGGATAGTACTGGGCTGCGAGATAACCCTGTCTGCCTCCAGTGGAACATCCGGTATAGTACGAGTGGTGAGGTCGTTGGCCATAGAATGCCACAATTGCCGCCTGGCCTATCACTGTCATGTCATGGATGGACCTGTAAGCAAAGTTCTTGATAAGATCCTGGTTGAGTTTGCCTTCCGGGGTAAGTGCCCAGCTACCATCCCCAGCCAGTATAGTATTGTTAAGGCTGAGTCCTGCATCAGTAGAACCAGCAGCGTAGCCATCTGCAACCGGTTGAATTAGGGCAGAGTCAAAATATCCTGCTGCAAGGCCACCGCCTCCAGTCGCTTGAAATCGACCGTTCCAGTCGTGGAAAGGTAGCCAGATGCTAGTAAGCACGATATCGTCTGCCCCAGAGTGAGTGAGGGAGACATTGACATGACAGAAGTCGATTGTTGATTGCGATGCTGTTTGCGTCGGATTGTCTGTGATCGAGTAACCGAATACTGAAGAACTGCGCATATTTATTACATCGAATTCCTCAAAATGCGGCAGCTCGATTGATTCGCACTTCTGTGCAAGTGCAGGATTTTCATCTCTAGCTTGTGGTGCAGCAACGACGACCCACGCCAACAGCACATATATCAATGACTTGGCCATGACCATACAATGACGGGCTTGCAAATAGAATCAAACCCTTATTCCAGATATACGTTCATAATTCTCAAATCAGAGAGGTTAAACTGGGGTTTTGGCTTGGAAGATGAGTAGGTTTTATCCGCTCCCACGGATCTGGAAGGCCCGCAAAAGATTTTCCGCAAGCAAAGCCGTAAATTATCATCTCTTTTTCCGAGGTTCTGTGGGTACTAAATCAAATGAAATCTATTTCCCAATAGGGAAATCATTAACTTTGATCTTCATATGACATCTTCGTTGACTGGAGGGGTGTGGCCATTCTGACTCAGGCCCGGCGAGTCAGTTTATTAACCTGGTCCTGCTGAGTTGCAGGTAGCCCAATAACCATCGCGTGGTAACACAATACAGAGTTTGGTAAATTTATTAAATATTCGAAAACTATGAAGATGAACCAGAAAGGAGTTGTTTAACGGAACAGAACTTTGGCATAATTTTCAAAAAAAGGGGCCAGCTGCTAGCAGACTAAACTGTCCTCTAAATCTGCAAGCAAATGAACATCGAATTAGCTCCATCCTATCGTATTAAAAAAAGTCTGATTTCCAATGCTACATATATCTCGTTATAGGGTATCTAAAGAAACAACTGAAGAAAATTCAGTAACAGTCATTGGTCACATTAATCCATTATATCAGCCCTCATCAAAAGAGCCGTTTCACAACTTTATACCATATCTTCCGGCCCTGTGGGTTCTGGGTGAGTAGAGACAGGTACATATGAGTTTGGCCATTCATTTTCCCGGTTCAGTATTCCGGTTGCGGCCTCTGGCGCAGTCGGTTTTTCCAGGTCATGATTCCTACTCGAGTATGCAGACGAGAATTTCCGATATGCCCTACTGAGGCATACTCGAATACCGATGGAATGCAGAAGCGGCCCAAGAGGGGGCAGGTTGGCGGCCCAAGTGCCGAGACACATTTCGATCATGACCCAGAATGTAGGGTTGAATACTTGGAGAACAAGTGGCGTCTTATCTTTGGGTTTTGCCTCATATCCCCAACTCATTCGACCCATTGGATATGCTATACAGAGGAAAATCATTCGCAAGATGCAAGCGATGGTAGAGCTATGACCTTCAGTGTCAGGGACGTTTGACAAACATACAGTGCTCGCAGTAAAGTATCCATCTACTTACATCAATCCGAGAAGGAAAATAAACCCAGCAGCCCATTTCTTCTGCTTAGGCATTTGCAGTCCTCTGATATGAAATAGTGGAACAATCAGGACTGAGACGTCGGTGAGAAAACTGGTGATTGCGAAGAGGAGGAGCATGAGCCCCTTATCTCCGCAATGAGCCGCGGCGAGCTTCTGGTTCGCTTTGAAGCTCAGAGACAATTTGGTGCCGCAAATAAATAGATCAGACAGCACAAAGGCCACCGTCCACAGAATAATAATCACGATTAGGACGTTATTAGCAATGCGAAAACTCCGCCGAACCGTGAAGATCCTCCGATAGAAAAAAAGTAGCGAAAGCTTAATAGCACCGAAGGCCGGCTTCTCAATCACAACCATGGTGAAGTTGATCTTGTGTGCGGTTACGGCTCTTTCAACAGCATCATCGGTGGACACAGCTTCACCTCCAGTGCCATGAAGGGCGTTCAGGCATTGGATAGCAGTACAAGCAACCACGATGGAAACACCACCAGCGATGAACCAGTCATCAGCCCCAAGATGCTGTCTCGTCAATACCGCTCGTGTCCAGAATCGAAGCGCTGTAAGAAGGATCCCAACTGCGGTGAATATTACGTACACCGGAATTGTGACCGAGGACGGATAGAGGCTCATTTTGTTCGATATGTACAGGGTCAGAAATGAAGTGCCACGCTCTGGTTCTCTGTGCGCTGGAGCTTCCTTAAACATCATGAGATCTCATGGCAGTGCGCCGCAAATTTTCGGGTGTCAGCAATCCCAGGTCGCATTTTGAACATGCCACCTAGGAACAGAGTGAAAGTGCAACCCTTCCATCATATCTTACCAAGTTGTCCTACATCTTGCGGGGCTGATCATCTAGAGCTTAAGCGATGGAGATCTAAGATCCAACACTCATAGATATAATGTGGAAGGCGAGCATCCTAGGACCATTAACATCGCTCATTTGGTGTCAGAGGACGAAAGGGTTGCATCGTGTTATGTAAACTGCGTTGATGGGCGGGGGTTTGGTCCACACTCCATTGCCGCGTGCTCAACACCCAAACAGTGCAACATCATCCCACCTCATACAAAGGCAAAAATAAACTCCACCTTCAGTGTAGGGGGAAATTGGAGATGGGATTAGTATCAAGGCTGAGCTAATGAGAAGCAGCTTGCTCCATGATAAATAGGGCGGACTTGACAAAGAATTCTTCTTCCAGATGTGGCAACGTGAATGCGACAGTTAAAACATTGGGTTGCATTGGCCTTCAACAATAGGGGCCGAATTCCATAAATAGCTCAGCCTGCATCCCCCAGATCATATTGTGTTGCATTCATAGCAATAGCGAGCTCTTCGGCGGAGAGTGATGATACGCCCCGTATTTCAGCGCCATTCCTAAATGTTATTATGGAAGCGGGAGGCCATCATCCCGCTTCGTGGCTGTTGAGATTCGATTTGAAGGAGAACATGCCATCTTGCTTTTAATTTGTCTCACAAGGTGGGCGCAGTGCTCTACCTTATAGTTATCCGCAATCAGCAACTAAATAATCACTGTGAAGAGACCACCTTTACGATTTTATTGAGGCCTGGTTCCTGCGACGTTCACGGCTCAAATTCTTGCACATGTTTGTTATGCTAGTCAGTATGTTTATTTCGTGATGGACTAGATTAAGGTGACACAAGCATACATGGCACTCAAGAATTGTTCATTTCAATTAATCATATAGCCTGCACTAAACTTGATGCAAGGTAACTCTTTTTCAGCATTCATTGAGGGTCAGAAGATTTCAACTTCCGACAAAAACTATGTAAGCCTTGCTTTTTTGTTCAAAAGTTTTCAGTCAGTCGTAGGTTGGTCTTCCTTCAGACTCTGAATAATTTTACCATCGATGCATTTAGTAAATTCTCTGAGATCAGCTGCAAGCTCTACGGGCTTCTCAGAGCATGGAAAGTGTCCGCCGCTATCGTGTTGTTTCCAGAAGACGATGTTAGACGAGAGAGTACCCTCGGCCCACCAGCGAGGAATAAACATGACGTCTATATAAGAGGTTAGAAATGGCCTCATCGTGCACAAATGATCAATGATACATACCATTGGGGAAGATCGATGCTCCAAATGGAATCTGGCTGGGTATCGGCTTGGAAAAGACCTCGGCTAAGGAGTACTCGCTTCCACGCTGTCCCCATTTGTAAATTTCTGCATGCCCTGAGGAGCCGTTAAGGATGTATGGCTGAAAATTGTTGGTAAGCCAAGAACCTCAATCGGAAAGAAATGATGGAGAGGGCAAACTTACCATGGCCCAAGTAATTGTATCCTCCTTTGTCCACTCGAAGTCATCTCCGACAAGGTAGTTGACCTTCTCTCTTATCCAGCACATCATCCCAAACGGTGAGTCTGTTAAGCCATAGGACAGCGTCAACGGCTTTGTTCCCTGAATAACATTATACGCGTTCTCCCAATCTAGCCACCATTTCATACGACTTAACAGACGCTTCTCGTAGGGATCAAAGCCCCATCCCCCAGTAAGGTAGCCGATTACAAGTCGGGCAAACGCCACAGGCCGCCACAGGGCACTTGGCGGCCCCGTGATAACGAAGTTGAGATGCAGAGCTAAACAATTGTCCGGGTATCTTGTCGCGAGAATACGCGCGACCTGGGCGCCCCAGTCACCAGCCTGTGCCATGAAGTGATTGTAGCCGAGTGCAATCATGAGCTTGCACAAAACATCCGCCATGTCCATGGGACTGCAGGGATTAGATGGATATGAAGAGAAACCAAAGCCAGGCAGCGAGGGTACGACGACATGGTAGGCTTGGTCATTTGGGGATGGTGGATTCGTGAGGTGTTGGATAATGGGCTTGATCTCGAGGAAGCTCCCAGGCCACCCATGTGCGATAATCAGCGGAATGGCACCCGGCTGATCCGATCTGTGGTGCAGGAAATGGATGCTCAGATCTTCCCCTTTGTGATCAATAGGGATGGTAAACTGATTGAGATCCGAGTTCAATTGTTTCTCGACACGACGCCAGTCATATTCGTTGACCCAGTAGTCTTTCAGTTCTTGCGCGTAACTGACGGGCAGGCCCCATGATTTCCATAACTCGTCGGTGGGCAGGTTTCTCCCTGGCGGTAGACGCGTGGTGCGGACGCGATCAACAATCCAATTTAACTGATCGTCCGGCACTGCAATGTTAAAGGGTACTGGGCGCGCCATCTTGTATTTGTTTGATTGGCGGAAGAAATAGAATCAGCAGGATAAGCAGTGAGCCTCTGGAGTGATTGATTGAGGTTCTTGGACACCCTTGAGATGGACGGCAGAGCGAATGCTACCCAATTCAATTGCCCGGGTGCCGAACTTGTACTGTGAGCATCCTGGTCACATGACTCTGACGAGAGACGACGGTTGCTGAGCAATTGCCTGCCTGATCCCCCATCCTATGCGTGAAATGACTGGAGTTCAGGTCTGTGAGACATGATCATATCTTGTTTGCCAGAAACAAAAAAAAAAAAAGTATTGGGATTGGATATTTGCTTCTCCATAACAGAATTGCCAAGGAATGCGCTCTTCAAAGGTGGGTTTCAGCTCGGCAATGGTTGGTATCTGGATACCTTAGATAAGATCAAGATTTGACGAACGGTGTGGCGTACCCTAGACCGCTCGCCACCAATTTTTTTCTCCTCTTCTTCTCAACTTTAAGTAAGCTCCAGGGGGAACTCCTTTCCCTTCCTACATTTACGTTCAGAAAAGGTAGTCAACTAGCATCTGCTTTACCATAAATAATCAGATGGGCTTCTTGCTTCCAAGGCCCACGTGAATAATTCCGCATTCAAGAGTGTCTAGATATGGTGATTCATGGTGCAATTTGAGTCCCCTGCCGATCGTCGCCAGGGTTGTTGCCAAAATAAAACTTCCGCTGAAGTATCAAATGAAAAAATTGTCAACAATGCTTTGGGGGAGGTTACCAAAAAGTTCGTTCCTCAGTTTATCCGTAGCAACCAACATGCAATCCAATCAATCAGACCATTTTGTTGCCAACCGAGCAAAATTTGCCGCAAACTCACCCGCAGGAGTCAATTGCTATTCAAACATGAAGTAGCAACGGCGTGAAGCAAAGAATTGCGGTACCGCAGGCTCTTGGAGGCCAAGCCTTATCTCTAATCACAATGGTCTCCCTTTCGGTTAGACCTGTGGCCCGCGCGGATCAGCACGTGGCCATTGTTGATAACGATGATTTCCAACATGGCTGGCTCGCTCGGTGAGATGAGGAAAACTGGACCCTCTAGCCTCTCATTTTTGCAGCAGCCGAGATTTCTAACCGGAACTCGCTGAAGGGGCTCCCATCACGTAAGGGCGACCCCTGTCTTGGTGTCTGCACGCAAGTCATAATCCATGCTGATAAGCCGGCCAACACGCCATTCTCTTAAGCTTCCGTTGGCCCGGCCCCGACGTGGCGCTGCCCCAAGTGCGCTAAAACATAGTAAGGAGAATCAGTCACCTCTAGACGCCATCCGGGTGCAATAACGCCTGATTCTAGCTGGGATAGATTGTCACTGACTCACTAGCACCGATTCCCTCATTGAGCTAGCTCGGCTACGGAACCGCAACAGAAAGATGAAATTAATTTGCTGTTGCTGCTCTCCGCTCCTCTAAAACCACATGGCCGCAGTTGGCCCTGGATGGATCAAGACCTGTCTGTCTTTCTTTTCTTTTTTCTATTGACTTCGCGCTACGCTGCAAACTCCAAGGCAACCTTTCCTTCAGTGGCCAGGCAGCTGATATCTTCAAAATGGGTTACATCGATGCCGGCCCGCCGCCAGGCAAGAGCGTCCGACGGCGCTTGGACGACAAGAATTCCTCAATTCTGACACATAATACCCAAGAAACCGTCCACTCGCTGGAATTTGCTACACCGGCAACATCAAAATCCGCTTCAATTTCTGGTTCCGTCTCCACATCGCGACAAACTCCTGTGCCCCAAGCTCTGACAGCACACTTCCCTACCGTCTTCAACATCTACAGCCGCAGCAAGTATTTCATGGGCCGATACATCCTGGGCGAGCACCAGAACGAGCCTTTCTATCTTTCAGTCGAACATCCCCACTCAGCCAATTGTCCGCCCGTGGTCTTACACGCAGGTGTGGATGATACCTGGCCCCTAGTTGGCTCTGCCCAGTGGGAGAAAGATGACTTTGGAAGAGCCTTCATTGTTGATATACCATCTTTGCTGAATCCCGAAGGCCATTACCCGCAGGAGATGGTCGAGTGGCAGGCCGGCTCAACCATTCTGGCCAACATCTTCGGCAACGGTACATTTCGATTCAGTCTCAAATATGGCGAGGATGGCCAGCAGGTCTATGAATGGAGATACTCGACCTCGGGCGTGGCAAAGAATGTCATCAAGCCGAAAAAGGCATGGATCCTTGTTCGGCTGGATGAGGGATCTGCCGGCAATATTACAACTATTAAACCTGGGGCATCTGACCCAGTAGATCATGATGGATGCGAGATTGTTGCGGCTTGGGGCACCGTTGACAACAGCCTTAGTAAGGTTGCAACCTTCGGCTTCGCAGGTAATGGAGCGAGAGGGAAGCTCGGCGAGAAATGGGCCATCGTGGCCGTTGTTTCGTTCTTGGTCTTATTTCAATGGACGCAGCGTGTAAAAAGTCACAGCGAATACTAATTAATCAGTCGGCGAAACAATTGCGGCAGGATGCCCCTTATAGATATCTTGGTTTGGGCAACATGTTTTCTTTTTTAAGAATAAATTCATATATAATAATTCAATTCAGTAGAAGCTCCATCTTCTCGTTAACCTGGTCCTCCCACTAGGAGGGTTTGAGGTAATTTGGTAAAGAAGTAATCTCTTCCGTGTCGATGGCATCCTGGCTGCATATTCTTACTATGAAGGTGCGATAAATGACCAAAATTTACCAGGATATTGGGGAGCCACGGCAACACTTGGGTTGAGGTAGCAGTAGCATGAATCAGAGATTTCATATTAGTATTTGCCTTTTGTCCATAGCCATTTCCCCGATGCCAGTCCTCTAACCGAGCATATTACGGTCATCTGCAGGCACGACAACTTGAGCTGCATGTGGTATGTTTTGGAAACCAACCCTACCCCACCCCTCTGCTTGAAAAGATTCCATTCATGGAAACGAGAATGCACGCGTAATTGCTTTGCAATGCAATCATGCAAATGACTCGCAAAAGAACTTTTTAACCTGTCACTTGTATCTCGGCTCTGTATGCCCGACGCTCGGGTATCAAAGGCGGGTATTAAAGGTTAGACGGAGAGAGCTTGCAACCTTGAACAGGATGGAAAATGTATATATATGACTCTGTGGCAGACTTATTCAACTGCTACCATGATACATGCTTTGAGCCACGAAGGTGACGTTTTTAAATCCGGTTTGGATGCCTAAGCATCGAGGAGAGTATGTGGATAGTATGTCCCATCGCGGTTGATTTTCAATGCCTACTTGATCTGATATGGATGCCTGCATTTAATACAGAGCTTGAGAAAAGATTTTCACCTTAGCACTTCATGACGAACTGTCCCTATGGCCATCCTTGGTCTCACTTTGCCTCTCTATATCTCACTCTACTCGGTGATCATAGGGGCGTCGAAGCCCCATCTGAGGATGGATTCAGATAATGAAGAAAACCAATTACTAAAAATCTAGAAAAAGTCGCACAATAGTGAAATAAGGAGGGCTTTGGGGGGCATGGGAAGTTGATGATCAGGGTTCTGTTACATCTATCTTACTTTGGCCACTGTGACACTGCTGGTTTATCAACATTGGTAATTTTCATGATGTGAAATCACCTAATGCGATAACTTGCACCTAAATCTCCATCAAATATAATAATATATCGTGTATTCTTTCGGTATTAGAGTCCATATCTCCTAAAGCGACCCTAAAGGCGGAATGGCGACGCACTCTCTCCCCCGCAATCATCTGTAATAAAACCTCAGATTGAACACGCAAGGTTGAACATCTTTGATGGTGCGTCAAGACTCTTTCCTGTCCTGTGGACTGCGGAAGCAAGCATATTATGGAGAAAGCCAAGTGCAATCGCGTATGATATCAAATCATATTTCGACCTTAGACTCTTCTCAATTAAACTAGACCATAATTCAATAGCCAAACGCCATGAGGCATTGGCCAAGTAGTCTATCTAAATCACTTCTGTTGCCACCACGGATAGTCCTGGATCATGTTTCGCCTTGAGGTCACGGATTTCGACGCATGCGAATACCCCTTAAATCCCTGGACGGCTAGAATTGGATGATTGGTAAGCTTTGTGACCCCCGCTCCAACCAACATTGTAAATGTGATAGGTTGGCGGTATGTAATTCATTCTGGCTCATGTTTGACTAATGGGATCTTTTTAATAACACTCGCTGATCGAATACCGCCTAGATCTCCTTGGTCGGTTGGAATTGCATTGGTTCACAGATGACAGCGAGCCGTTAAGTACATCCTGAATTATTTCTATGACGATACTAAGGTGGAAATTAGGAATAGATTAACTAGAAATAATAGTAGCCTCAATGATTTTGCAAATCAAATGATTAGCGTAACCCCCGTACTACACTATGAATTCCCGGTAGCTCAACTATTGGTGTGGTAGCATCTGTAGGTATATACAAGTAACATCGATAGTGTTGCATGCTAACAACGAGTTTTTAGAAATATCGAGTGATAAGGCTGATCGCAGCGTCACTAATACTGACGATGTTGCTTGATCGAAGTCGATACTTGCGCCAGGACCTTACATATATTTAGGTTACAGGCTATTCCTGCCCGGCTTGACCAAGCAGAGTCACTGGGACTAATGATGTGTGATTGAAAGGAATTGGTCCTGGCAGTATTGTAAAGGTGGGAGATTCGGAATGGACGACCTGAAACAACTCCTGTCTGGTCCGTGAAGCATTTTTGCGAAGCCATCAAAATTACCACCCGTCTCATCCGGAGGTAGGTACGCTGGACATAATACTATAACCCCCTTGAGTCTGTTCTCTTGTGTTCTAATGGTTATTCATTTGGCTCATGCCACAGATCCTCCTTTCTAGCTCAACTGCATTTACCATATGATCAGATGCATCAGAAATGCGTTGATCATGATTTTATTATTCAATCCATTGTAGTTTGACCCTCATCAGTGACATCTTTTAAAAATGCCGCCGAAGGTATAAAATTAACATCGAATCATTTCCCATCCATACAAGATGATTGTCTGCAAGATTACCTTAGACTAATCTGTCACGGCAGTATGCGGCAATACGGGCCACAAATTAGCAACGCAATCTGAGATTCATTTCTGTGACTATTCTCTCACTTGTTGGTCCTTCCCTAAAAGCGAGAGCCATTTCATTAACTACTTATACCGAATTATGGGCGCATTTATTCGACAGTTGTCATGATTATTTGGGCTGTAAAATTACTAACGAAATATGTACGCTATTAGCGCGCGAGTACGTTCATACACCACAGTCAGCTACGAGGTAGGATACAGGGGAGGAGTCTAGATCATTCATTTGCATAGCTCCGTATCAGTCTTCACCTACCCATCTCTCTGTAAGACCTTGGCGCCTGATTCCGCAGCCAAGCCACTGCCAAGTTCCCCTTATCACACTCTCATTTACCGCTACTCCACCTTCTGAGGCTCCATCATCCAGTCACCTTCTCACCAGGTTATTGCTATGAATGTAAATATTGATGCTCTATAAAACCGCAGTAGAGCTTCATGGGCTCTATTTATTAATAGTATTTTTCCATTGGGTTGTGCGGGGAACTAGTTGACTATAGTCAGTCTTTGCGCTGATCTAACTAAAACAGCAACTGCTAAAGATGTTGCAATCGCGAGTGTAGTGTCTTCTTCATCTGATCATTCCCGGTCTGCCATCGCTAACTAACCAAAACCGGCCCTTGAGCCGTACACGAGAAACCCCTGAAACATGCCGACCGGCTCCCGGGTCGGGTGGTAGGCCGATTCGTATTCCAGAGCGTATACCCCCACTACCCGCGCGACAATGTGGCGGTCGGGAGAAATTGCTTTCGAGAAAAAGACTGCCTTGTAAGCTTAAACCAGAAGGACCTGGGACGGGCCCATCATACCGGTTGCCAGATAATGGACCAGGCTCCTTGGGAGAATCAGCACAACAGGGACTAGCTGTTGGCTCTCTGTCCACTTGCCGCAGCGTGACCCAATACGAAGAGCATTAATTTCAGCCAATTTCAGACGATTAGTGGTGCGCCTAGAGGATTCTAGGCCTACGAGTATTACTTGCCCTGTCGCGACCAACTGGAAGTAGAAAATGGGAGCTAGAGTTCCGAGAAACCAGTTTCAGAGCCTTACCATTCTCCACTTTATCTCGAGGTTGTTTCAGGGTTACTACAAGCATCTTTGTTAACCATCCCCACCCATACAAGGCCACCAAGAAGCTTAACTGGATCGTGAACAGCGGATGGGATGAAATGCCAAGGAATGTGGCGGGTGATCCGGCTTGTGGCATTTCGGGCGGTCAAGACATCGAGCGAGCGAGCGTGGGATAATTTTGGTGATAAATATGTGAGCTTTCCCCTCTTAGTTTGTGTTTCTCTTCCTCCTCCCAGCAGCAACAACAACAACTTCGAGGTACAAAGTTTCTCAGACATCTTTTATCTTGCTTTCATTTCGTCCAATATTGTCCGTTGACCGGAATTACCATAACCTCGAGTCTCTATCACTCCCAAAAAACAACGACAAAAACAGACACCATGCATTCCGCTGCTCTTCTGTCTCTCCTCGCCGCTGTCCCTACAGCAATGGCTTGCCTGGGCTACGAGGGTGGTCTTCCTAAGTCCACCGGTACCAAGAGTCTCAGCGCACCCCGGTACCTCAAGAAGGGCGAAGTTTTTGATGCTGGTTGGGTCAAATACGACCGTGGTGTCAAGTGTGGCGGCCAGAAGGAGGGAGGTAAGACTTGCAAAACTCCAATACTCGCAGGATATCATGAATGAGTTTGAGATGTTGACACGATACAACAGGCGAGAAAGACACTGTCTTTGTTCTGGAAGATGGCGCTACGCTAAAGAACGTCATTATTGGTGCCAACCAAGGTGAAGGTATCTACTGCAAGGGCAGCTGCAACCTCGAATTTGTTTGGTTCGAGGATGTCTGCGAGGATGCCATTTCCATCAAGGGTGATGGAACTGCCAACATCATCGGTGGTGGTGCCTACCATGCCTCTGATAAGGTCATCCAGCATAACGGATGTGGCCACGTTAACATCATCAACTTCTATGCTGAGGACTACGGCAAGGTCTATCGCTCTTGCGGTAATTGCAAGAACAACTGCGCCCGTTCCGTTCATATGGAGGGTGTTACTGCCAAGAAGGGTGGTGAGCTTATTGGCATCAACCCTAACTTGGGCGACAAGGTAAATATATATTCCGAAAGTTTTATGATCTCGGCAGATAGGATGGCTAACTCGTTCTACTTCTAGGCTACCTACTCCAACAACTGCTTCCCCAAGGTTCAATGCCAAGCGTACGACGGCTGCGATAAGTCCAAGGGCGATTGCGAGGCTAAGAAGAAGGGTACCTGTTAAATCGTGAGCCTATAGAGCGAGGCTTAGCTAGACACATCCGAATTTTTCACTTCTCTAGACATACGTAGACATATTTAGACACATTTTGTATTAAATCGAAACAATTTCGGCCATATGAAGGTTATTTAAATGGCATTTTTGAACAGAGTCGTAGATGTTGGGTCTGATTTGATATTTCCAGTTTTGCATTCGAATAAGCTACGTTCAATGTTGTAACAATATGTCTCGGTGCATCCAGTGTCATTCAATATAATGATCGGGGAGCTTGAAATTCGTGTTCTGATTGAAGGTGTTCATGGGTGATTCTCCCAATATGATGAAGGTATTCGCAGTAAGCCCGGATTATCTCTATTCCGTATTACTCATTAGCAACTCTTGTTGACATGAGTGTACTTTGGCTGAATCTGACCGTAGCCTGATGCGTTTTCAGAAGCAGAATTAACGCATCGCGTCTGGAAATGGCTGTTCTAGACTTGAACGAAGCATCCCCGTCCGACAATGAAATTGGGGCCCGTGATGAGGCCATCATCGATCGCAAAATAATTCCACGCAGAGGACACACTAAATCGAGGAGAGGCTGTGTCACTTGCAAGCGAAGAAGGGTCAAGTGCCCTGAAAATACCCCCGTGTGTCGCAACTGTGAGCGCCTCGGTCTATTTTGCCAGTATGGGGCTATGGGTGACTCGGGGAGTCATCCCTCGGCGCCATTGCAGTCCACCGGTGGTCACTTCTCAATCGGCGACTTCCAACTATTCCATCACTTTGTTCTTTATGCGTATCCTCCGCTACCAATACGGGGCAAAGCGGTTTGGGACGGCGTATGCCAGTTTTCTCACGAAGTAGGTTACGCTTCTCTTACATTATGCGAAGACATCAATATTATCCTGACTGACAGAACATCGAATCGTTGAGTTTGACTTCTTGATCCACGCCATGCTCGCGTTGTCCGCGTCACATTTCGATCTGTGCAGTGGCAGTGAGGGGCATAAAACACAGGCACTCTCTCACCGTACCACCGCTATCGCCCGGATTAACAAGGCCCTCGACAGCCCTGTCATGTCAGGCGCTAGGGGTGATGCCCTGTACGCAGCACTCATGGTTCTTGCGTTTCAATCGTCCTATATGTCTGATGGCATGCTCGAGATATATCCCATGATCCGCGGATGTATGATGATGATCAAATCGGCATCAGTCAACCTGTCATTGTTTCGTCAATTCACAGTACAAGACCACGAAGAACAGGTTCGAACTATTCTCCAGAGTGAACCTTTGAGCGACCATAGCTCTCCTCCCCTGAAATTATTATTGGAATCTCTTAGAGCCATACGCCCTCTGTGTCAAACCAAACTTGAAATTGATTATTTCGGCACAGTCGAGAATATCATCACTATGGCAACTTATTCTCAAGTCTTCTGTATGTTATTATTCCTATCCGATACTCTCTATTTCTTCCTATCAACTCACTGATCATGGGCCAGCGTTTTTCGAAGCATATCAGGTGTTTAGTCAGCCAACGCAAGAAGAGTTTAACGCTTTTATGAGCCCAGGAAACTATGTCGCTCAACTACTAATGATTCACTTTTTCATCGTCGAATATGTTGTGGGGCTGAAGATGATACCGTCTATATTGAGTTCAATGCGGTTCAAGCCGGATATCATTAGAGCGTGGGTAACTGAGGTCAAAAGCATTCTACCAAAAGATTATAAGTGTTATATGGCCTGCCCCATGGAATTCATTGCTATGGGATGTTGTAATATCGTTTGATTTAGTTTGTACATTGGATCAATTGTCTTTGAACTGTTGCTTGCGAGAAGATTGACTTTATCAAACAAAACCATTGACAATAGTCACTCCGAGAAGATGTTCTTTTACAGTCATGCGCAGTGACACTATAAAATGAATTAAGGTTCGTGGCTCGAGGTACATTAGATTAAGATTTCGAATATCATAATCGTATTTATGATTGTTGAGGGATAATATGACATAATGAACAAGACATCACCCCTGAGAGTGTCAGTTTAGATTGTTTACACTGTTGTATTATTCTACTCATCACAGAAAGTGGCCTGCACATAGCCACCGTTCGATTTGGTGTCTCATTTCTTCCCAGTTACCGTGCCACTAAGAGCGCCACTTGAACTTGCTAATTGTCTTTGTGGCTGCGTTGGAGTACTTCTCATGATTTCGATGATGAGCACCGTTGGGATAATTTGCGATGAGGCCCAAGATGTTACAAACCCTGCTCTGTAACCCCACGGGCAACAGTTCATTCATGTAAGACTTTATCTCACTCTTCATTTCAAATACACATACCGATAACGTTCTTTCAATTTTGTAGCAACAGCTGCGGCCCTAACGGCAATTTCATTAAGGTTTCAAGGATGGTTCTGCCTACGGAAAGACCGAGTGGTTGACCCCAAACGAACAAAGGCGTTATAAAGTGGCGTAAAGGATTGCACTAAGAATAGGCGATGACGTGGAGTCGCCGATGGCTTCAAGGTTTCGCCTACCTAGCCCAAAGTCGGACCGGCTGAAGTGCAGTCAAGAGTCTAAATTTGGTCGCACTATTCGCTGGAGTAGCCGTCTCCAATAACTCTCTATCTTCCATATGGGCATCTTATAGATATCAAAAGGGGGTAAAGGAAGGCCCTTTGCAGATATATAAGGCTGTGGCTGGACAGAAATTTCGACACTCTCGTCGACAAGCACTCCTTCATCTCCATATCAACACATCAAACATTGTTCGCAAATATCCAGCAACAGTCAATAAGGCCCCGGTTGTCTTTATCTGAAATAAAACGATCCCAGCATGCTGCCGTCAACAAACTTTCGGGTTACTGTTGCCCGTGCCATCTTGCTTTGCTTGGCCTTCGAAGTTGTTATTGCTGATCCAACTCTCCAAGGCTCGGCTGCGACAACTTCTTCGAAAAGTACGGCCACGAGAAGCACTGCTACGAAGAGCACTGCGAGTGCAACTCCAACTATTTGCTCTACCAGCGAGATAGAGAGAATGGACCTCTCCAACTGCAGATGCCAAGAAAAAGTATCAGGCTGCCAAGCAGGTGTTGTGTGTGAGGCAGTATGCGGCTTGCCCGTAACAAAGCCCAAAGACGTGCTTCACTGTGATAGAGGCTGCACAGACGATCAGAACAACTGTGAGGGCTGCGGTATTTGGTTCCATTCTCTCTGCAACTGCCTCAAAACCCCGGATAAATGCCCGCATACTGGAACCGTTAAGAAGGATAGCCACGATTCTGTTTGGGCGCTGATCACCAACGGAACAAACGACGACCTGATCACCAATACGAAGATTATCCCGAGCATTGAGGAGCTCACAGCTCAGGAGGGCAACGTTGGCTGGGACTTTGCGCAGAGTTTCTCGACCGACGTCGGCTTTCACAACTACTCGGCCACAGCATTGGCCTTGAACTCTTGGCGCGCAAGGACACACATGCAGATTCACATCCATCTCTGCGACAAGAATATGACTACGTACACGCACCTATCGACAGCCAAGGAGCTTCCTGCTACGCCCGGCACATCTGACTATCGCCTGAAGCAACTCGACACTGACCCCGACCTCTACTGCATCTCGGTGCCAAAGAATGGGGCCATCCAGAAATTCGGTGAGCTTGTTGATTACTTTAGGCGAGGGACAGATTGCACCAGACGAGTTGGAGCAGGCATCATGCACGACAAGCGTGGGAATACTTGGGGATGTGCAACCTTTAATTCAGCAGGTGGCGTGGCTAAATTTTGCAGCACAGGCTCTTGATTGTATTTGAATTTTTTCCAGTATGTGGTTCTTTTTCTTTTTCAATAGATAGACACGCGAAATCCGAGTTCGTCTAATAATTAACTTGGTATGCTATGCATCTCATTCTTGTTTAAAAGCATCAAATGGGTGATTATTCCCTAGATAACCCTAACATCGCGTGTTATGGATTTCCGTACTCTTCACAAACATTGTCTAACCAGGTGAAATCGACAGCGGAAGCAATTTCCGGTGCTTTTTTTCTTCGAACTACCTGCTATTGATTATCTGCCAGCCATGAAAATAACCAGCTCATCGATCTCGCGCAAGTCATTTATTTCTTCTCTAAACAGCACTAGATTATATAATGATGAGATGGGTCGCCAGATCTGTTCTAAGCCTAAATTTGATGTACTTATGAGGTCACAGCGACCTGATCATCTATTTCGCTATCAATATCTCATGCAAGGGACCATATTTAGATGCGATGTCGATACCGCTGTCCGTGGGCTCAAGCCAAGATTAGTGTGTACGTCTCCTTGTAACGACTCTCTCTGGCACATTAGGCGAATAGCAATCTGGTTTAGTTTCTTGATATTTCCCTTAGTAAGATCTTTGTACTCTTCTAGAACTGTGGTGAAGGCCATCCTCCGGCTTGCAAATAAAGCATTAGTAGGCTGAAGCAGAAAGCCATAAGCTTAGTACGACTGAGGTCGCCGGCCCAGGTCGCCGATTAAAACCGATAGTCTGTTCTAGCCCGAGATGCAGCGCACGCTGTCTTAGTTTCCATTCACCGAGATCGATTTTCGGAGATCAGTGTCAAGATTAGCCCACGGAGCCGCCGAAGCTTATCACTCACATTCTCTCGGGCTACACGTCACCCCTACGCACTCTTCACTGGATTGGTGTGACGTCTAGAATCGACTTTGCAATCTAAGCTCCCGAAGAGGGGATTGCCGTTCTCCGTACCAGCTTCTGACACACCATCGGCGAAGGCGCTTAGTTTATTGCTCCAATTTAATGGCTACAATGTTTTGTAAGAAATGTTAAATGCATCAAATTCACAAGTCCAAGATTTCTTATGTATGCGCCCAATGGTAGACCCCGGCGGTCGTCGTGTGCGTGTACAGCAATGGGCGAGCCGAACGACTCTGCTTACTGAGTCGATTCTGTTGCTTTGAAAGATGAATGAATCTCGAAAACTATCTTGGTAAACTTGATAATAAAACCATATTTGTGTGTACGTATTGAAGCAGCCCGAGAGACGGCTAATAACGCCAAAATAGCCATGGGCTTCTCTCAAAGATCAAGCTCCCTATGCCCTCCTACACTTCACCATAGCGATTACCGGGTCTTTACTTTGCTTGCCAGGTCCCGAGTCTCAACCATGACGCCTTTGCCAAGGGCAAAATATACCGACACAATTTTGCCATGGCCTCAATTGGTGAGACTCAGCCAAAACCCATAGCGTTTCCTAGACACAACTCTAATAATTTACAGCGCGTTAGTCACCACGAAATAGCCGAACGAGGACGGGGATGATAGCATGCAGCCCTTTAGTAATAGCCTCCCCATCTCGCCCGCCTTTCTGCTGACGCTTAGGGCAGGCACTGGCGGCAAGGCCAGACTCAACGTATTGAAAGGCCGTACACTGGATAATTCTCATCATTGCCACCGAGGGCAGAGCTCTAAGGGTATAAGGACGATATGTGTGACTGTGCTGCTGCGAAAGAACCGATGGAGAAGCGTGTGTTCGGGAATCGTAGGGCGTTATGTTTGCCAGCACCGTGAGTGTGGAGTGAAGAAGGAGAAAAGAAGTGGGCGCTCAGGCAATAAACTTGCGCTTTTGCGATGAAATCTTTTAGTCTGTATGGGACAGGCCACCATATTGGGCACTTGCGATCGCCTAGATCTTCCTCGCTCAACTATCCATGGACGGCTTTGGCTCAATGAGTCTGGGTTGTTGCGCCGTGCGGTGTCGGGTTAGAAAGCTACAGGGTAAGTTGATGTGAGCTCAAACGGTAAATCGCGGTGCGGCCTACAGGAAATCCAGTTGGCTCTCTTTGATCCAGGGCCACCATCACACCCGCTGACCCCTGCTAGGCTCAGCATCAATCGCTGACGCAAAAAACCGCAAGACAAGGGAAGCAAGTATCTGTCGGTACCTGTCCAAGCGCTCCCATGGCAAGTCGCGACGACGAAAACGGACGACTGGCATATGCCGAGTACTGGGACGGGCGATATACTGAGACGGTCGAAGGCGAGGAGCAGGTCCATGAATGGCTCCGCTCATTCGAGGACCTGGAGGAATTCTTCAACCTACGCCTCTTCCAAGCCTACCCTCCCGCCGCAGAGCCGCACATCGTCCATCTGGGATCCGGCGACAGTGTATGTGTCCATGAAAACCCCCTTCACTTGGGGCACCATACTAACCACGTGTCTAGACAATCCCGCAGCATCTGGCCGCCAAAGGCTACAATCGCCAGCTTTGCGTTGATTTCTCCGCTGTCGTCGTGAAGACCATGTCTCAGCGCCACGTCGACTTGAGGCTATCAGACGTGATCCGGTGGGAGATGATGGATGTGCGCCATATGGATAGCATTGCCGATGCTTCGGTTGACGTCGCCTTTGATAAAAGTACACTCGATGTTATGATACATGGAAGTCCTTGGAACCCTCCCGACGACACTGTCAAGAACACTGGCGAGTACCTGCGAGAGGTATCTCGCATCCTCAAACCCAGTGGAGTTTACCTTGCTGTTTCCTACCGCCAGCCACACTTCGTGAAGCCACTTTTGGAGTGTGAGGGGACCAACTGGGACATTGACATTGAGCATTTGGGAGCTGAGGGCTCATTTGGTTACTCTGCAATTATTTGTAAACCACTGCCTAGATCGTAGCTTTCTCAGCTGTTCTATAAAAAACGATAGCATATGATGAATATAGCCCGATCAGTTTCTCATTTCCTCTCTTTGTTTCTTTCTTTGGGATTTTATTCTATTTCGGGCTTGTTGCTGCCATTCATGTCTTCACTGCTCGCGCCGATCAACAATTCCTGAATGAATTTCGCCTATAATTTCACCTTGGCCGTCCTGGGGGAGAAGCCTGGGCAGAAGGGCAATAAAATTTATTGATTTCACGCACACTTCCCCATACTAAAAACCATTATGGCAATCATTAAAGCAATAAGTCAATGACATCTGATCACTCACTAGGTACCTGAGAAGGGGACTTTCCGCGGTACTGAGATAAACACATTATCTTTCAGTTGTAAAGAGAAACACGGAGTATGAGTTAAGAGAGAAACCGCAGGACAAATAAAGCTAGAATAAAGACACATCCATGAGGGCTCAGGCACAATGGCTCTCAAGATGTGGCCAAGCAAAACACAATCAGATCAGACCCGCGTGTTGCGAAAGCAGAAGCAAAAGAATTCTTTCTAAGTATGATCAATACTTCCAAGTTCCAATACCAGGTAACGCTTTTCAGTTACATTGCCGCAGGCAATTCCAAAATTAGCGATAGCACGTATACCATCAACCGTGTTGGCAATACATGTACTTTGCCCAGCGCTTCAACACCATGTCGGACAATTTGTCCAAGCAAGCTTTCTCCATACGTCGCTTCGGCAAGTGCGCAAATCTGAGTCGCACCTTGTCAACTTGCTTCTGGCTCAGCCACACCTTTTTCATCTTGCGGGCGAGCTCTTCATCACGGAGAACCCTCAAGGAGAATCTCGTGGGCTGGACCTCAACATACCACCGCCCAATGCCGCGCTCGACAGTGAGCTGACGGATGCTATCGTGGATAGCCATGATAGCCTTGGAAACCAACTCATCGCTCTGGCTCGGGAAAGTGGAGTTGGCTTGGGACATGAAAAGCCAGGCATTAATCTTCTTTTCAGAGAAGAAGGCTGTGATTGACTTGACCACGTCTTGGGCAATTTCCCAGCGGAGATCGTATGCAGCTCTGTATGACTGGTCTGAAGGGTGAGTCTCCATGATCAAGGCTTTGTGCAAGTTGGTGCCACCGAGAGCCAAACGGCTGTCGAGGGATTCTGCGCGATGTTGAGCGAAGGTTCGCCATGGATACATCTTTTCTTCCCATCCAAACCGGGCGCCAGTAAAATCGATGCAGAATTCTTCGCCGCTCTGGGTTTGGGCATGGAGGATGACGTGGGCGTCCAGGTTGGGACTGCCTCCAACTTCGACGACAAGGGCACAGCCTTTGGCTTTGAAGCGGATTTCGGTTATGTCGGAGCAAACCGCTGATTAAGCCATTGTTAGCTCGGCGAGCGCTTTCGCTTGTATCCAGGGAGAAAAAAAAAGGAAAGAAGCTTACGTGTTAGAAGTGACTTGATCAAGCCCAAACCTGTGGTTACGACGTCGTTGCCGTTGTTGCCGCCGATATCCTGGAGAATGGCTTGCTTGACATCATCATCCTGGTTCCCTCCCAACACATCCTGGGAAAAACCAGGAAAGATTGACTCCCCGGTCCATCCTCCATGATCAAGAGCTTTGTTCTGGCCTATGAGAGTAGTGTGGATAACTCTATTAGTCTTGCCAGTAACCATGACCCGGTTCACATACGTGAGTTCCGCAAAAGCTTCCCAGATTGTATTGAGGACGCGGATGGCACGCGTGAAACGGCGGCGAGCGTTGCAGATCTTCTTGTGTTCTTGCCAATGTGCCTTTTGGCAGTCTCGCGAACAGTATCGAGTGGAGAGGGATCCAATGTCTGCCACTTTGCAGTTGCCGCAGACCATCTTGGCTCCAGGTTCACGACAGTTTTGGCATTTCTGATCGTCATCAGTCAAAGAATTCGGTAATCGACAGTGGACTGGCACCTCTGGTAACGTCGAGGCTTCCATGATGGCGTTGAAAAGCGCGGTTGGTTGTTGAACGAAAGAGGTTACTGAAGGAGGAATGGTTGAGTTTGGGAAGTAGTTGGTGGTTTAGCACAGCATTTACTCGACTCCTTCAAGCAGAAATGCGAGGTATGGACTAGGGCGTGGTCAAAGTGAAAAGCGAAGGAAGGGTGAGGAGTAGGTGAAGTGACATGGGAAAGAGAAAGGAGGCGAAAAACCCGCCCACGCGCCTTTAGGTGACGCGTAAACACAAGCAAAGATTAATTCACAAGCTCGCTTTCCAAAACTACATATTCCCAAGCTCAACGCCGGTTGGCTGTGCACGTGAAGTTGAGCAAACAAGAGACGGTTCACCGTTCGCTTCCAGGTATGAAAGCTCATTATACCGGTACTTCTGGCCTCAAGAGAAGCACCAGATGGCGAGGCCCATACGAGTAAAAGATCTATTTAATCTGAAGGTGATATCGTGTAGATCCCAGATATCTCCGATACCTTTTATGAGATCTGAGGCTGGAAATTTGGCGGCGCGTCATGGCCCTGTATCTGTCTCCACGCCAGAAAGAACCTAGGCGGGTACCGACCATCGCCCTACCGTGATAAGCAATGTTGATGGGATGGGATCTGCCGATAGAAACGGGATGGTTTGGGAGGGTCGATGACTGAAGTAACGCGCGCAATTATTGGCCTTGGAAGAGCTTGCAAAGTGAACCAAACTGGCGACCTCTAAAACTGTTCCGTACTTGCAATCCAACCAAGACCGGGGCACTATTGTTTCTCTAAGGTAGGACCGGTTAGTTAATTGATCGTATAAATGGATTCAAGCGCTCAAAGAGTGACATACTGCAGTATGCCTTGGCTTGAACAACATGTGGGCATGATGTCGGCCATCTTGGTAGTGGAGATAACCTTTCATACAACCCTTGTCTGTTAGATGGAAGAGTGCCACCTATTTATCGAGCCACGGCGTTGTATTTGCGGTCGGGGAACTGAGGTCCCACAGCCTTGGTCTATTGAAACTCAAGGTTGACTTGCATGTGGTGCTTAATCGAGGGTGGCTGGTTGGGGTTGACTGCCATGAATCAGTCGATCTTATACTTCAACAGTTCTCGGTGCACAGAAGGAACTCAATGTCGCCCGTTGTCTCATTTTTGCTAAGAGCAGGGCCGCGGCAGACGTGTGCTTGTCAGTCGGATGTTTGGGATTCGACGGCGGGGGCTACAAGTTTGTCGATTTCTCGAGCAATTGTCAGGAGTGCGGATCGTTGCTCTCCGTCGTCTTTCGTGCGAACTTGCTCGTAGATACTTATCGGCCGATCTGGTTAGTTGGTATACTTGTTCCTTGGTTAAAGAGCCTTGTTAATCAGAAAATATATACGCAGCGCTCGAGTAGAGCGGGAGAAGTCGTGCCACTCATGCTTGCAAATATCGCGAGTCGCGGCATCGGGCGATGGCAGCGTGGGATGCGCGTCTTGGGCATTCTTACAAGCCATTTGCTTTAGCTCGGAGTAGGGAACTGCTCCTAAGGCCAAGGTCTTTTTTCTTAATGTTAGGGCGCGGCATCTGTGGAAGACGATATGGTTGATTGGGTAGGTTGGGCTTTTCAGGTGGGATTGTTGCTCAGCGTGTGGTGGTTAGAGTTGGAGAGGTTCAAGCAGGAACTTGAAGGAAATTTGGCGGGAGCCAGTGATGGAAAGCCAACTTCCGCTATCGATAAGGACTGACTGACTTCCCACCTGCCAACTATAGAGCAGAGTGAAGGTGAAGTAAACATGCAGGGAGAGAGTTCTACCTATGTATGTGGTTCGCGTCTAGGTGTTTTATTTCTTTACGCATTCATGAATTTTTCTGTTATGTATTAAAAATACCCTGCTCTCTCACCTATCGAATCAAATTTCTTGAATCAGACTCAGGCTATCTTACAGATCAAGCCTATGAGCCGTCGACTTTGTCTTCACCTAAACCGCAATAAACGCCACTCCTTACAACGGAAAAATTAAGCAGAGTTCCCCGAAAAAGTGCCGTCAATAAGCAAGACCTATCATCTTAGTCTCACGTCTCTAATGGACTACATAAGCTCTACAAAGCCGGCCTAAGCTGGTCACAATTTTTGTGGATGGGCCTTGGAAGTACTTGTGTGGTGTGGTAGAGGAAAAATGATGACCTCAAGGTAGCGTCGGGTATCAAGGAAGTATGTATAATTCAAACAGGGGCGTTTTTTTTACTAGGTAGCTATAGATCAATCATTCATATCCCATAACGGCACATGATGTACTCCTAATTGTCGGCCTTGAGTTTACCAAACCGTAAGGATGGTGAATAGTATTCATCCTCGCTTGGATTGGTTCCATAATCCCACACAGTATAGAAGTTCCTCAAGAATCTCGTTCCAATCAGCGAAAAGCCATTTGCTCCAGAGTCATCAAAAGGTGGCCAGCAGGCATCCTCTCGGTTGGCAAAACCAGGTAGCTTGAGTTGGTCTCCTGTGACAGTGAGTTCCTTCTTGTTATCGTAGTTGCCAACAACCAAAGTGAAGGACCATTTGTCGGTGAACTCGCTGCAGAGAGGTATGTGCTTGCCTGTGATAATGGCAGTCCAATTCATACCAATAGATGCATAAACCTCCTCAATCTTATCAGAAGAGAGTGACATGCTAGAAGCCCCGGTGTCAAAGACAATGTCCCCCCACGAGAAGTCAATAGAGCTCTCAGCTTCGGTACCATTCGAAGTCACTTGCTTGCCCTTTCCTGAATACAGTGTGCTTCGCCACACATCATAACCGCCATCGCGTCGAAGAAGAGGTACCTCGATCATGTCGCCATCGACATATTTATCCTGCCTCGATCCACCGAGAGTCAACAGGCCTTGACCGTGCCCGCCTTCTGGGCTATCCTTCCCAGTCTGATCGTAGTAAATACCGAAGCGAGGCTCATCGACGAGCTTCTGCGCCATCAAGGTCTCAAATATGGGCGTCGCGCCGCCATCAGCAATGCTGTTGAAGGCCAGACCAAGAAAGCCATGGGCGGGAAGTGCAGCCCAATTACTTTCGTTTGCTGCAATGAACAACTGATCAGAGCTCACATCTCCGATCGTGAGCTTGTCGGACACAGTCAGCCCTGCGACGCGCCCGCCAAGATAATCGATCGATGCTTCCTGGCCGGTATAGTTGCCAGTAGAAGACGCGGTAATATCATAGCCAATTCTCTCGAATCTATATGGGCCAATTGTTAGTAGAAAGAAACCTTGGTAGATGGAATTATTGATGTACATACCCGCTCACGTTGTTGCAATGTTCGCCGCACTCCTTGTCTACAATCCAAGTAGACGTGCTCCCAGTATCAAAAAGAAGACGATATGGTCGTGCCGGGGTTCCGATGTTGAGTTCAATCAATTTCTACACCACGTTAGGCGCCGATACATGGATCTCGCGGATGGTTCAACCTACGTAACCATTATACACAATGACGGGCAAATCAAAGACCGCCCCGTATGCGATTGGTGCAAGGGATAATGCGGCCAAACCGAAAGTCTTGAGTGCCATGGCTGCGGCTATTAGTGGTGATGAGAGGAGCAACAGGAGGGCATGACATCTGTTGGGCACCTTGATAACGGCTGATGGTATTTAAGTATTTAACCACTACGATACGAGGTCATAGATTGTCAATTTCCATGATGTGGGCCTTGTTGATCATGCAAATACGAGCCTCTGATCTGCGGTTCGACTCGCCCGGCAGTTGGGCGGGTTTCGTTCGCTCGCTTAAATTGGCACTGACCATCCGACGGCAGTGACATCTTCCGTGTCTTCCGTGCCCAAACCGGAATCACGAACTCGTATTGAGGTTTCATGGCATTCAACTGCAATTTCCTCTTCCATCCTGGGTTTAAGCAGAACAACGTCATCGATGTATGCAAAATTGAAAAGAAATGAATCAAGTCATTCGATACAGTAACGGAAGAAACAACATCTCTCTTCATAAACTAGGGCTTGGAAGCGAAGTCGTAGGCGAAGGTGGCCTTGGTTTGGAAGTGGGAATGGTGTCACCAAGGGAAAACACGAGGCTTGGCGAGTGGATTGCTCCGTCTCGCGATGCTCTAATGGCCGATAGATGGAATTTCATGCACCTATCTATTTATATATATATATCAGGCACATGATCGGGCATGTTTACATCATGTCACAGTATTATCTATGTATCGAACCTGTAATAGCTAAGACCTTTTATTTAGTAGCAATTGCTTGAAAAAAGATGCCTCTCCTCATTGATAAACCGTATATATAGAGCGCCACAGACTGGAGAGCCTCTCCACCCGTCATTTTAGCTATTATCTCATTATAAATGAGATCTCTGATGCTCAGTGTATTTTCTCTTTTCAGGTCTCTGGCAGGTTGGGGTGCTGCTGAACTGAGACGGGGTGACCAGGCAAGCCCATCACCCCAGTTGATGGTGGTGCCATTTTTGATGAAGCTCACAAAGTCCATTGAGTCTCAGCAACGCTGCAACAACAACCAACACGTGGAGCCAGTTATGACTTTGTCCCAGTAGATCAAACGTCCCGGGGTACCACCGCTCGGGCACGCGAGCCGCGTATACAATACCCCCAAGAAATACAAAGCCACCCATTTGAAAGAATGATGACACATCCATTCTATCATTCAATGTAATGAAACCATACTTCTTCCATCCATGCACAACAGGCAAAACCATGCTCAAGCCAAGTGCAGTGTAAATAACAGCTCTCATAGGTCGATAGTTTGACTGTCTGAACTTCGACTGCAGTGTAAGCCACCCGCAAACTACACCAATGACGACTAGACTGATGAAATATTTGAGCCTCAACTCGCTTTCATCGAGGAACGCGAAATGATTGGCAGAAACGCCAGCGCCGCAAACGAGAATGACAATGCCTAGGTGGTCTAGTTCATTGCTGGTACGATGGACTGAGGGGCTGTGGTCTGATAGGGTGTGGTAGATCCCGGATAGGGTGAAGCAAAGTGTACTAGATAGATAGAATATAGCCACAGCTAGGGTATTCGGGTCCAGGTTTGTGATTGGTGAGCTGGTGAGGAACCGCAAAAGCCCCAAAATGATGTACATGGCTCCTAAGAGATGTGACCAGATATTTGCTAAACATGTGAGCATAGTAATAGTATCATAGCACTGTATGAGTTGCAAACCTGTCTCATTATGAATCTCAACCACAGATAGTATTGATCTGTAATACGAGAAAGTTGCACGTCTAGAAATCGAATATTAGCTTGGGATGACGATCATCGGCCATTCTTGTACCGGACATACCGATATCCTGAGAGAATATACTCGTTATCTCTGTAATAAGTAGTGAGTGGTTCTGTCTAAATCGGTCTGTAGAAAGGGCTCGTAAAGTCTTACCTTTGCCATGGCACTGATAAAGTTAGCCAACAGACCCAGCGGGACCGAGTCAGGATTCCCAACTTACAAATAGAGTCCCAGAGCAACGTCCGTGGCTCGGTACCCGAAATACGATTCATATTCATTGGAAAGGTGTGGTGCTCAGCAACAGCTTGAAGTCTCTGCTTAAAGAGGGATCATCAGCCATTTATAAAGTGTTCTCAACTGGACCATACACCGCTCGACGAGACAACAAGAAAACAATTCATTTGCCTCGGTAGATTTCAAATGCAAAATAAGGCCTATTTGAACTGCAGGGAGGCTTTCAATTAGAGGATACAGGTGTGTTTCCTGGGGAGTAATCCTATCTGACCTACAAGGATCATTGAATGATGTGGGCCAAAGTGCAGCAGCGATCATTGTACCGGCATAGCCAAGTTCCAGGTGATCTGCCGGACACCTAAAAGGTTGGAAAAATCAGGTCAAGAAACCTAGCATCATTTGTAGTCTCATCTGCTCTACTTTAAACGTTTAATGAAATCCGGACGAGCCTGTTTGTATGATGCTGTCCTCGAGAGCAGAATTTGGCCAGTGCTATACAATATGATGACTGACCAATGATGTTCCAATAACGTTCGCTATGCTTCTTTTAGTTTGCTGACAGGAACGAAATCGAGCTCCCCGAATATGCGAGCAAGCCGACGTTGTCTATTCCTCACCTTCGCGCGCGCTACGTGCAACCATTAGGTTTGATGCAACCTAGTCCCTGTGGGCTAGTGAGTTTGATTGGGAAAGATTTCTCGAAAATGCGTGATTTTCGGGCGTTTCTGAGAAGGAAACCCACTTGTTCTACGACTCTGCCACCCGCTCGATTTTGGGAAGAGGTTGACGAGATTCTTACTGGCCATTGTGGTGGTACTGTAGATGTCATATCTCATATCCGCCACGTACAGTGTTCTAGACAATCCGCACTGTATTATTTAGGGTTCGTCAGGTGCTACACATGGTGTATTTAGGCATCGGTCTACGGCATCGCAAGAAGCGGTATCGGAGTTTGCACTGTGTGCCTGCAATCAGACATGACAACAAACATTTGGGGCAGCAGAGGGGAATTCTCGAATGCGCACCACCGCGTCATCATTTTCCCCTCCGCCATCTGTCGCTGAATAGCGAAATCGAGACAGATATCCAAATCTCACGCACACGCGAAAGTTGGTGACAGATCGGCGGCGTCACTAAATCCCATACCGCTATTTTACCCTCTGACCAGCCATGGCCAGTTCTTCTTCCCTGCAGGGCTCACCCCCTCTCCCCACCGAGATCTGGCTCCTCATTCTGGACCAGGCTGCCAATCTGGCTGACCTGGCCAGCTTCGCACGTGTCAACGGGCACTTTTGGAATACGGCTATCCCTCTTCTGTACGGACGCGCAGCCTGCTCTTCTCCATACACACAGCAGAAGGCTCTGTTCTGGGGGGTTGTCCACGACCTGCCACGGACCCTTGAGTCAGCCCTTGCCGCCGGCATCAACATTGACAGCATCTGGCACAGTCCCCGCCGCGCGGCCAAATTTCCAAGTTTCGGCCAAATCTTGAGCACTCATACCTTTTCTCGTGGCCTAGAGCAAGACGGAAGCGAGGATGGAGATGAGATCGAGATTGGTGAGTACCATGACTGGCACTGGTCCGTGGTACACATTGCCGCCTTGAAGGGCAACATTCCCATCTTAGAACGCATCTTGAGGGAGAATCCTCGCCTGGATACCGGCTGTCTAGGCTTATGTGATTGCGAGGTCCAACCTCAAATACTGGGGCCGAGAACCGCAGCTACTTGCTACCTGCAAATCCCGATGTGGACGCCACTGCATGTCGCCATCTGCTCTGGCCATGTCCGGGTTGCAGAACTGCTTCTATCTGCGGGCGCCTCTGAATGTATGGACCAACCCCAGGGAGGGACGGATCTTGTTCGCACAGGACTGACCCCTCTACATGTTGCGTGCATGTCGGGACAGACATGTATGGTAGAATGGTTGATACGGGCACGAGGCTACCATTCCAGGATTGACGTTTTAGACTCTGCATGCCAGAGCCCCCTTGTTTACGCATATCTCTACCGTCACTGGGATTCGTTCCAGGTGATGTTGGATCATGGCGCAGACATCAACGTTGTTGTTACAGACAACCTCTCCGCAGCGCGACACAATCCTGGAGGTCAAGATGAAGAGGAAAATTTAGCCCATCAAACTATGCTGTACTCATCTATTCAGGACCATAGGTTTGAAGATGCCTGCCGCCTGATCGGATTCGGCATTGACCTTCATTCGACCGGAGATTCTGACAATCTCCCTTTGATCAATCTCTTATGCGAGTCTCCGTGGGATGTACGGCCATGGTTTGCTTGGCAGACCCAAAAATGCAAGTCGCACTTGCAAGACATTCACGGCTCGACTTTATTGGATATTCTCATCGATTCGCGCCTCGAATTCAATAGAAGCTTCTTGGGCACCACTGCCCTCGCCCACGCCGCTCATTCCGCAAACATCATTGCCGTTAATCGCCTGTTGCTTGCCGGCGCAAACGTAAATGGAGACGAATGGGGAGATTCTCCGCCACTTCTGATGGCCGTAGTAAATCCACACCAAAGGTCCATTTCCGCCATTGTAAGTATGCTTTTACATTCCGGGGCCGCTGCACACTATGATACTGCGAACCATGAACCGCCTTTATGGTCACTCTATGTCCACAACAAGGACAGACCAGAGGTGGAACCAATCGCGGAGATGTTACTCCAGCACGGTGCGAACCCTGTCCGTGGCACTGCGACGGGGGATTCAAAGTATACGACTCCCTTGGAGAAGTTCTTGGCTGATGGAGATGTCACTGCCTTCGAAACACTTCGAGCGCGATGCCCCAACGCTGTTTTAGGCGAGGACGATGTCATTGGGATTTGGCGGTCCGTTTCCAAACGCAGCGAAGCGAAGCTCATTGAGTACGTCTTGGATATGGATGGGTGTGAGGCTGTTCTGCAAAAGCACGACGTTATCTATCTTCCTGTGCCACGCCTCTCAGTGCAGATACCGACACCATTTGACCTCGTTCTGAAATTATTGAACCTTCAAACCGGCTCGAGAAGGATCCCCGGCTATCTGGGAGGCATCATCAACCGTGCCATTGTTCAGAATGTCGACCCTCTTCTCATCAAGGAACTTCTGGACGCTGGAGCTAGCTGCCGCCACATGTACAAGTTCCGAACACCATTGATGGAAGTTCTGGGCAAACATGGTAAACCAATGGAGCTCAGAAAGGAATACATTCGGGTCCTTCTAGGTGCCGGCGATCGTATCTACCGTGACCTGGGCATGTATTACTCACCTCACTTGAGACCACAAGAAGACCCAAATACCATTCTGGGGTTTGCTCTCAGCGAGGTGACAAAAGACGCGAGGGTCTTAACGCTCATTGAACTTATGTTAGAGCTCCAGCCTTTGCGGAACGAGCCATCAGCACAAACCTATGTCTACGTACGACAAGCTTGTCTCATGGGTCGCATGAGAGCCTTGATGGCTGTCATTGGATCATCAGATATTGCTGTTTCCGCTATTCGCTCAAATGCGAGCAAGCTCATCCATGAAATGCTAGACACCATCCCAACGCAACAGAAGACGATCGGAGACATGAGCGACGCAATAGATTGTCTAGAGTTTATCATAATACAGGATGGCGATTGCTTGCGTTCAATTTTACCCGAATTTTCAAGCGACAGGAGAACCGCGCAGGAGAAGCTACTTGCACTTATTTGGTCGAATACTTCTTCTGATAATCATGAGATGGGGGCAACATGGTGTATGAGGAATAGGATCATGTTCACAGACGAGGACGAGGCGCCTGACTTTGTTCAACTTCTGTGGCCTTCTTCGTTTGGGATCTTCAAGGGCGATCACACATCCTTGGCTGAAGTAGGACGGCTGCTTCAAAGATCAAAGGTCTAGCGATTTTGCTTTGGTCGCCTGGAACTTGGGTGCGGCTTCATGAAGACACCGTCAAATACATTCCTTCATAGTACGGGTAGGGGACATGGCCAAAGTTGGCCAAAAAGACGATTTATCCAGAGAAGTAACTATTGAGAATTTTCCAACCCAGTTTGCACTATATTTTGTAATAGATTTGGGCTCGAAAATTTGTCATGTTCGATGGCGCTGATGAACTTGGTGTTAGATACGAGGCGATAGTTGACACTGACGGGACACTTGCGGTTGCGTATCAAGCTCGCGTTCAGGATATTTCATCAGGCCTGTTCGTGTCTAGATTGTCAACACTTGCAGTTTGCAAAGAGAAACACAAGGACAGTTTAGAAATTCAGACGATGAAAGAACCCAAAAAGGGTCTAATATGGCTAAGATTGAACTTGTTTGAAGGATCTATGAGGAGCTCGGTTTGAATTTCAGTCACGGGAGAATACAGAAATGAGTATGACTTTCAATTTGTGACTTTATAAATAACTATCTTGAGCAGACAATGTTTTCTTTCTGCCTCATCAAATATCTAAACGCAAGGCTGATTGTTCGTCCCAAACGCCAAAATCAACAAGCCATCACCCCTGCGCTGTGTACGCGCCACCTTTTGAGATGGCATTAGATGTTGGCATACCTGATTTGGGGTACATGCATCCAAGTGATAGCAATAAGAAGCATTCAAAATCATTTCCCCAGTTAACATTGATCTGCAACGTCCCTGAAGTTGAGAAACCAAGGTTCTCCGTATAGACAGCGAGGACCTCGCGCTGATCATTGTGGTCGACTAATATCCAATTACGGCGAGAGAGTCGTGAAGGCTTCCTTATTCCGTCAACAGCAACCGTAGTCGTCCTTTTCCACATGAAGTACGCCTTTGTCTGGCCGTCGTAGGCGGAAGTCATCGACCATATCGTATTGGGACAATCGGTCCGCATCTCATCCCAGGCCATCTCGTCATCAAAGTCATCAATCGCATTGCCTAGATAAATTTTGTAGTTGCAAGAATTCCCCCTTCGAGTCGCAGAGGCGAGAATGTGTCGGGGATCCTGGTATAAATACGATGTACGTTTCGTACCATGGTTATGCGAGCCAACATCGAATGTGTAACCGACGTGTTCAGGAGACTCAGGAGTAAAGTCAAAACTAGGACCGGTACCGCGGTGAGTGAACCGGTACCGTTTCTTTTGAGCGCTGAGCGAATACGATGGCGGATGTAGTTCTACCTCCATCTTGGCTGGATTGCACTTGGCAACAAATTAGCGCTCATCCGCAAAGTAAGATGGCGGGGATGAAATATTAATAAGGATGTCAACCTTGTGACGTAGTCCGGATATAGTGGGTGAGATTCTGCTTCACGACAAATACGACGCCAAGATACTTCTTTTGTCAACCCCGGCATCACAGACATAAGCTGACAGCTTCCTCATTGGTTTACAAAGCTACTCTCCCTCTGAACAGAATTCATTCATATACGGCATATTCATGTAAATAAGAGGAAAGAAGACATTTAAATGAATCTTATTATAAAATACGATCATCAATAATTACATGGAGGATCTGACAATTTCTCGACTCTTAATTTCTGATCGACTTGAAGTACAATTCCCCATGCTTATATTGCGCGAGACCTTGAGCATCCACGTCTTTCCTACGGTGAATCTCATAGAAACCCCTTAATGAAAAACCACGACGTAATTTCAATAAAAAAATGCTATCAAGGCCGGTAAAGAGGGAGTAACGCTCAGCATCTCTACCTGCGGAAGCAGCAATTAGTCTATTCTTTTTCTCATTCTTGAAAGGGTTCATTTATTTGTTATTCTTGGACTAGTTATGATAAACTTAGACTTCTGACTACTTCACGGGGGCTAGTCCTGTCTGGTTCAATTAGACTTCTCCCAGTTTTGCCCTTCACTGTTATGAGTCGTTATCAAATTGGTGGGACAGAGGAAACCAGCCCGTGGGCCAAAGTGCTGAGGTAGCCATTGGTTGATACCCACGCTAAGAGAATGGGAACCATCCTTGTCGATATTATTCCCGGCTAGTTGATTACGAGTATGATCCAGCTCTAAAAGGAAGGCAGTGGTCAGATGATCCGGGCCAAAACCGCAACCCTCCACAATGAGTGCACTGTCAGCAGTCAAGGGATGCTCCAAGTTTTCCACGCACGGGGGTTGTTCCGTGAAGAAGAAGAACGTCCACCATCACATCATCCAGGTCAACACCACCACTCTTGATTTTACTTGTAAAAATTCTTTCCCAAAGTCAAATATGGTACGAACAAAACAAACTGTTAGAAAATCCACGGGTGGCAGGGCCCCTAGAAAGCAGCTTTTGCCAAAGGCAAGCAGGAATCTTCTCCGACAGTTTCACGATCATGCTGGTCGGGTGTATACGGTCTTCTGCCCCTTCTCGATGTCTGGCACATCAGTTCGGAAGTTGGGCATCCAACTCTATCTCCTGGGGGAACGTAAATATTCTGAAATTGAGGCTTTTGCTAAGAAATTTATCCATTGCGACGGCATTGAGGGTTGGGGGAATGCCTCGAATTACTGGCCCCGGGTTGACACGTATGCAGGTTTTCAAACCGTTGAGGAATGCATCGAACACCATAGAAAAGAGAAGAAATTTCGGAGAGCAGCTATTGAGGAAATGAGGCAAAATGCAGTTGCGGGCCTCTCCGAGGAGGCTGCAAATGAAAAGTTGCTCAGCGAGATTCGGGGCAGAGAGCCACTACCGCATATTGTACCATCTTGGTGCCCATCAGACGCGTTTTGGAGAGAGTTTGACTACAAGGACGACAGATATCGAAGCTGGATTATTGTCGTTGAAGCAGATCGACTATCCTGGGAAGATGTGGTCGAAAGAGGCTTGCTTCAAGTGCGTTTCGATCTTGACGTAACCCCCCAAATGCTGACCGAAAGCTGGTGCGAAGGGGTGGATGTCGATTGCTGCTTGGAGAAAGATAAAGAGGGCTGGGTCTTCGTAGACTGGTCCGGGCATGAAAAGCGAAAGCCAATTGATAGACGGCTCCTCTGCGTCCGAGACCAACCTCGCCGTCTCATGGATTTAAGTATCACAGACCCCGAGGAGATCGCAAAGATGATGTATGGATGGGAAACTCCTGGAACAGACGGCAGGCTGGTCGATGCTTGGTCGTCTTATACTACTCGTCTCAGGGATTGTACTTACCGGGGCGTCTCCTGCTATGCATGCGACAATGAAGACGAGCACGAGCTTTGCGAGCAGGATCTAGACGAGCATTATTTTGATGAGGACGGACAATGCATCGCTTGCCGAAGAGCATCTGAGTATCGGCGCCGGAGTAAAAGAATCGCTGCAAAGAAGGCCGAATCTAGTTGATATCAGATTCTTTCATACACGGACGAACCGCGATAACTTATCTAAGAGCATACATGTTGATATCGTTATCTGACTATCAATAACCGGCCTTATTAATTAGTTAGGTAGGTCTGATTAATTATATACTTATCTAATCTTTAGTTAGAACTTTCTAATAGATAGCTTTTATCCTAATAATTATTATATTTATTTTACTTTAATTTACTACTTTTTACTTTACTATATAGCTCTTATTAAACTATACTAATTAGTCTGGAAGACTAAGAAAACTAATAGATTAGATTAATATTTATTTATTTTTCTATAGTATAATTAATCTTTATTTAGCTAGGAAGATTATTAAAACTATCTATAAGAAGATCTGGATATCTTATTACTAATTTCTTTATTCTATCTATCTATTTTCCTTCTATCTATTTATTTCTTTATTTAAATAGATCTAATCTACTTTCTATATATCTCTATATATTAAGTATATATTTTTATCTACTTATATATTTATTATATTAGTCTATTAAGTATCTAGTAATTCTATTACTATATTCTTTAAACTCTTTATCTTTTATTTTTATTAGTTTATTTATATTTAATTAGTTTCTATTAAAATCTAATATATTTATAACTTAATATATTATTAACTTATTAAGTTAAACTATTTCTATTATTTATCTATTATTTAGTACTAAAAGTAATTAATAGTTTCTTTTTTAGTTTTTTTCTCTAGACTATTTATTATATTATTAATTTTTTATTCTCTTATTATATTATTATATTAATATACTAATATATTAATATATTCTTATATTAAATTTACTTATTAACTAACTGGAAATAGTATAATAAATTTAGAATCTAGTAATTAGAAAGCTAAAAACTAATTATTCTAAAATATATAATCTAATTAAATAATAATAATAAATTTAAACTTAAACTAGTTTAATAATATTCTAATTCCTCCTATCTATAGATAATAAATTAATATATTATTATAGAAAAACCTAGTTAGTTTTAATTTAGTAATTATAATAAATCTATAGAAGGTATTATATATAGTATATATAATAATCCTTTAGGAAAAAATATAATACTATAATTAGATTCTCTATAAGATTATATTTAATAAGTTTAAATAATAAACTATTAACTATTTTATTAATTATAGAAAACTAATAGAATTATTATAATAGTTCTTTCTTATTAATAGTATTTTTATTAAATAGAATAGTATTTATATTAAAGTTAATATTAAATAAATATTAAATAATCTATTTTATTTATAAACTAATAAAGAGATAAATAATATTAGTAATAAATATCTAGATTTCTATAAATTATTAAGGGATAATATTAACTTCTATATAGAGATTATCTATAATTAGATAATTAAAAACTTTAGAATTAAAATATTAGATATCTAAAGCTAGTATAGTTAATAGACTAAGAATATATAAAACTATTATATATTAACTATATAAAATAATAATTTAATACTATTTAGTATATTAAATAGTAGATTATATAATTAAGATTAAGACTATTTATATAATAATTAGAATTATATAAATTAATTACTAGGTTTAAATAAACTATTATTTAATTATTATTAATTAATCTCTCTTAATAATATTCTATTTAATAAATATAATAATCTACTACTAGATAATCTAATTATAATTATTAAAGTAAAGAAATTAATAGATCTATAGAAACTATATACTAATAATATAAAGTATAATAATAATATACTTAATATATTAAATATAAAGTTACTAATTTTTACTAACTAATATTAGAAAGTTAGTATCTATTAATCTAAATATACTAGTATATTTAAAGTTATACTTAAGGAATAAGTAGAAGAATTCTATTATAATTATCTATATAACTATAGATATAAATATAATAATTTAACTAATAAACTATATATATATTTTAAAATAGATTAATAAAAATAGCTCTATTTATCTAAATAGTATATAATTATACTAAGATATATAATTAATATAAATCCTAGTTATTTAAAAACTAAATTCTTTAAATAGCTTATTAAATATTTTATTAAATTATAATAAGTACTTCTATCTAATTACTAGTTAGATAAAATACTATATAATTAGTTAATTAATTACTATTATAATATATCTAAATATAGTATAAGTATTTTCTAACTTACTAAAATATTTAAAGATATATATAATAAACTATATAATACTATTAGTATAATAAGTTATTAACTATAGATTATATACTACTAGATATAGATTAGAAACTACTAACTATAAGTTATATACTATTAAGAAATAGAAGATAATAATAACTCTATTAATAATAAATCTAATAATAGATACTTTACTAATTAAATATATTATAATAATAAATATAATAACTAGTATAACTATTAAAATTTATAATAATATAATAAATTATTAAATAGAAAATCTTTTAATTAATAAAATAGGAATTAATAATAATATATTAAGAAGTACTATATTTATAATAAGATTAGCTATTAGTTAACTAAATACTCTAATAATAAATAAAAAACTATATACTATTATTATAAAGAATTATTTTATCTATCTAAATAAACTTCTAAAGTATATTATTAATTCCTTATATAGTATAAGAGTTAATCTAATAAAGATAATAAACTTAATATATTTCTCTAATACTAGTAGATACTTAATAGATATCTATTATTATTAAATAAGAAGCTATAGCTATTATAAGCTAAACTATTAAATAATTAAATTTAACTGAATATTAATATAAACTAATATTATTATAATATATAGTTTCTATTAGAATATAAATTAAATATTATATTAATCTTAGTAGAATAATTAACTTATTATAACTTAATAAAGAAAGATCTTTATAACTAATTAGTTAAAACTAATAATATTAATAAATTATTTACTATAAGTTAATATAATAAAATATCTTTTTAAAATATTATTCTGGATATTAGTATATTAAAATATTTAACTAATAGCTATAAGTAATTTAAAGTACTCTAATATATTCTTCTATTTATTTATATAAAACTATTAGACTTAATTATCTAATTTAGATTAGATCTATCTATATAAGTTTTTAATTTAACTAATATTAAGATACTGCTTAGTAATATAATATTTTATATTATACTAACTAATATATTATTCCTACTATATCTCTAAGATATAGATTAATTAGATATTTAATATAATAACTTAACTAATATATTATATAAAGATAATATCTCTATTCTAGTTATCTATAAATAGAGCTATTCCTAATTATTATTAAATAACTATAAAATAACTACTTATTTCCTTATAGAAATAGAAATCTAATATATTTATTATTATTTTAACTACTCTTTTATTCCTTATCTTAAATATATATTAGAGCGAGCTAGTTATAATATAGATAAATAAATTATTATAATAATTTTAAAGATCTACTATTACTATTAATTATTTATTAGTTAATTATATTAATTTAAATTTAATCTTTATAATAATTATAAGTTTAATTATAAATTAATAATTAATATTATATATTTTAATAGAAATAAACCTATTCTATATATTATTAATTTTACTATATTATTTAATACTATTTATTTTCTAAGAGATATTTCTATCTAATATATCTAGTAAATCTTATATCTCTATTAGATTAATATTTATCTAGAACTATCTAATTAGCTAGTAACTAATACTAATACTAACTTCTAAGTAATTAAATTCTATTATAAGGCTTAGATAATAGGGATTTCTATTAAGAAAGTACTAATTAAAGTATACTATAGTATTAGTAAAGTTAAATATTATTATTTACTAATCTATTATATATATAAAATTATTTATTATCTGTATCTTGGCTGGCTGTATAATAAAAAGTAAAAAAAAATAAAGTTAAAGGTTAGGTATAGACTGAAACTTAGTTAAAAACAAATTATATAGATCTAGTTATATATAGCCTGATCTTAGGATATCTCTTATATATAGTAAAAACCTTAAAAAAAAATATATATATATATAAAATTATTTAATTAGAGAATCTATTAATTATATTAGAATCTATATTATAGATATCTATTAAAGTAGTAAATAATATAACTAGATCTAATAGTTTAATTTCTATACTTTTTATATTTAGTATATTTCTCTATATAATAGATAATTATATATCTTTACTATTAATAGTTAAATATATTAAAGCTTTATATAAAACTATAAATAAGATTAAATAATTAAAAGCTAAATATATAGTTAATAAAGCTCTAATAATAAGAAATAGATTTAATATATCTAATATATTAAATCTTCTATTATAATCTAATATTTATATATAGAGGGAAATTACTAAATTATAATAAGAACTATTTAAACTTCTAATTATTAAAGAAGAGAAATATATTATCTAGATACTATAAGAGCTATATTCTTTCTATTTAATTATTATTAAATTATTCTACTATAATCTTATTAAAAATAATATTCTATTAAATAAGATTATTAATACTTTATTAAATAACTTACTATTAAATAACTTATTATTAGATAAAACTAATATCTTTTTATCTAGTAAATTAAATAATTCTCTAAATAATAATTCTTTACTTCTTAATAAAGATAAAGATAAATCTATATTAAATATAATTATTATTAATATACTATATTATATAATATAATAATAATATAATATTTAATTATCTACTATTTTTATATTTAAAATTAATAATTTTAATTCTATTAATAATCTGAATTCTAATATTAAATTTAATAATAATATTAATAGTCTATATCTTATTATAGATAAAGATAATATCTTATTTCTATTTATAAAGAAATAATCTAATTTTAAATTAATAATCTCTCTTTAAAAGAAAGAGAAAATTTATATATCTAGTAAACTATTTAAATAGTTTAATTAAGCTAAAATTAATATTCTAATAGATAGAGATATCTTTAAGATTACTTTATTTAATAAGAAATTATATATTAGAA